ATTAAAAATCACCATTTGGCTTTTTGTTGCACATGCAGCTGTGTTGTAATGTGGATGAACGTCGAGTAAATAAAAGGACAGAAGAGGTTTTCCCCTCCTCTGCTTCTTGCTCACTTGTATTGACGGATGACGGCATGCAGACGAGGGATGTGATGTGAAGGGATGAATGGATGGACATGAGAGAGCAGCAGGAGGAGGGGGATGGGGAGGATGACATCAGCGTAGAGCTTGTTTCCGGCCCCTCACAACCCATCTCCCCCACCTCCGTGCTGTCTCCGCTCTCACACACCTCTCCCTTGTTGCTACGGCAGCACCAGCATCCCGTCTGCTGGAGAGATTGTTTTGGGTTTATAGTAGCGCAGCATGGTGTAGAGGAGTTCAGCTGAAGAAATCACTCCTTTGTTTCTTCAGGGCTCACTCATCTATCATCCCTCTGCCTCCTCCTTTAACATCCCTTCTTCACGCCGCATGCTGCCTACACCCTCGTCCATCTTCTGTTATTTGAGTTTAAATTCACAGGTTTTCCATATATACTGCGCAGAATCTGATCGGAAAGCATTTGAAAGGATAGGATGCTCTACACAAAACATGTTAGTAAGTGTATCTTTCAAAACAAGGGCTTTAATTTGGTGAAGTGTTGTCCGTTTCTCCTTTAGAGATCTGGGGGTTTGGAGGATTAATTCCAATAAGTAACGAAGTCAGTCTGACCTTGCTAAGATATGACAGAATAAAGATCTTTTTACTGCTGCTTTTATTTAATTATGAAAGTTGAAAGATCCATCAAATTACCATAACCGATCCTCCTGGTCCCAAGTTAATTTAGTAAATAAACAATTTTTCTAAACCCTTCTACAGCAGATTAAATATCTTATTAAAGCTATTAATGTTTTACATTTATTTCAAGAAAGAGGGATAAAATATGTAAATTAATATTATAAAAACAATAATATTGATATTAAACACACACACACACATATGTATATATATATATATATATATATATATATATATATATATATATATTCATTCATTCATTCATGTATTTAATTTCGGGTGATGAAAACAAATTAAAACATCTTCCCTAGGTATAACCATATTATTCTTGTTTGCCCTCTGCATTTGTTCATAGATTTTTGTAGGAAAAGTCTTTGCCCCTAACAGATGTTTTATTTGCTTTGTTTTTTCCAGAGCTTGGTTCCCATGGCACGATAATCATCCAGACTTTTGACTCACTCCTGACAATCTTAAGACTGGGCACAGTTACTGTGGCCCTACTTCCCACTAGAAGCATCAGCAGAGTGGAACAGCAGCAGAACTGTTTACTCGCGACTTTTGCTGCAGTCCAGTGAACACTGGAAGAGTTTTGGCTATTGAACAGCTTACTCCCTATGCTCCTCACTGGACTCGCAAGAACACAAAATCCCTCAAATTTATGCCATCTTCCATTGACCCTCTCAGGCTCAAAATAAGTTTTGATAAAAGGACAAACAACTAAGTCCTTCTGACATAAAAAAAATGCTCAAGAAATGCGTTTGTGGAGTAACCAGGTAAGTTAAACCCAAAACAAGGAAATCATATTTGGTATTGCTGTTTCGTGTCATATATGATGTTGTTCCTCTCCAATGCCAGGATTAAAGCCATGAAAATAATTAGCACCGCTGCACTTCTCAAACGATGCAGGGAGTAAATAAGCCTAAGTTTGGTCACTTGTATTGACATAATCTATATGAAATAGCATTGCTGCAATAGCATTGTCTTTTGAATATTATGCTGAAATTTCCTGTCTAGCCCTGTGTTATGATCCAAATGTATTTACCCACCTGTGCAGAGACATATTCAATGTTTTTTTTTCAAGTTTTACAAACATAACTTAGAAACAACTCATTGCATTGTTAAAGTGCCTTTTATTTGATCAAACTTGAATCGTTTTTGTTTTTACCACATTTAACAGAAAAAATGGCCTGTATTTGATATAGCGCCTTCTTGAGTCCTGGAACCCTCCTAGGTGCTTTACAACACAATCAGTCATTCACGTGTTCACACACACATTCACACGCTGGTGGGGATGAGCTACGATGTAGCTACAGCTGCCCTGGGGCGCACTGACAGAAGTGAGGCTGCTGAGCACTGGCGCCACCGGTCCCTCCGACCTCCACCAGCAGGCAATTCTTGCAATAGACAGCAAGAATTTGTCATTTGAACATCCATCTTCTTCTGAGTTTGTCTTTCTTGAGTCAAATTTACTGTCATGTGAGTTAAATCTTAAAAAATATACTGAACCAGATGTGTAACATTTCAAAGCCTCAGAGGCAAAGATCTGAATTCCTCATGTACTGCATACCCACAACACACATTTCCTCATACCAACCCACCCATTTCCTTTCCCGTCTGTCTCCTGCAGCTTGAGTGTTGGCCTGTTTTTGCTTTCAGTCTGTTTTTGTCTGAATTTTTTTCCTGTCATCTGCAGCCGTGCTGCTCTCTTTCCTCCCGTAACCATGGAAATGAGATCAACATGCAAATACCTGAGCACGCTCTAAGGCCTGTGAGATAGGAGATGCAAATTGCATCCGCTTGTAGGATTACACACCCACGCGCGCACACACACCGAGGCACACTCAGTCCTATATGCACGCACACACACCAACGTCTGCGCGAGGACGGACGTAAGCACTTCCCACCTGCAGTCTATAACAACACATAAACCAGGCTGACCTATAGAGTTTTCAGCTCTGAAGTAAGACATCATGAACTGTTTGAGTGAATCCACATTTTATAAAAGTTGAGAGTTTTATGAAATTGAGCCTAAATTATGTAGAATGGCTATAAATTAGATTACTTTCCTTTCAGCCTACACTTTGTATTATCTAAATATGAATGACTGAGCAGAAATTATCTTTGAAGACTGACATTCAGCAAGGTCTTCTATCCTTTCTTCTTTATTTAGTTCTGAGAAGCTAAATTTGCTGTTGTTTTTATTTATTTGAAGAAAAGTTCTCCAGGGTTGGTGAAGATCTTTTAATATTTTTCGTTGGGCTTTGGTCATCACATGGACAGGATTTATTTCAAATTGCTTGATTGAATTTATAAAAAAAAAGTAAAAAAAAATAATAATAATACATTTTCACCATTAAGAATAGAATAGAATAGAATAGAATAGAATAGAATAGAATAGAATTTATTGAGCCCACAGTGGGGAAATTCATTTGTTACAGCAGCACACCAACAAAACCAAACATGACGGTCAGAAAAAGATTAGTACGCCCAAAGGACAAGATATCAACAGATAAAAATGTCATATACAAAATCCCATGCAAACTCTGCAATAAAACATACAAAGGGGAAACCGGACGCCAACTCAACACACCAACAATAGAACATCGAAGGGTGCGAGAAGGAAACAAGTCGAAGACACACAAGAGTCGCCACACAAGAAGCAGAGAGTACAATATAGAAATCAGCCGTAACAGACAACTGCACAAGGGAAACCCACATAATGGACTAGGAAAGTACACGAGTCATAAACACAGTACAACAAAAATATCGGTGATCCCTGAGGCCACAGCTACTAGCTGAAACATGTAAGGTAAACAAATAACTTTTACTAAACTGTATAAGAAAAGAACAAAAAATGGATTAAGGACAAAAACACTGTACGAACGCACAAAAGAATATTAGCTCCTAGCTCCATATTAGCTTCAGGGGTTAGCTCAATTAGCTAGTAGCTACACTGGTTAAGAGCTTTGAGTGTCAGTCATTTGCTCCCACCCTCAAAGCATTACTCTCAGCTCCACCTCTTTTTACATTTTTGGATTGTATAGGCATGACAAGATGTCTGACACGGTGGTGGGAACTGCCCATTTGGCCTTGTTACCGTTTTTAGAGGGAAATGGGAGGGGCTTGTCCAGGATTATCATATGTCTACGGTTCAGACACAAAACAGTCAATGACAGAAATATTTTAGGTATCTCTCACATTCCATTTAACAGGTTCAAGTCACATCTTACAAATTGAACTCAATTACTTTAGCTGAAAGCATTTAACTCCACTACTACTTGTGTAATATCTGGGGTTCCTCAAGGATCTGTTCTCAGCCCTCTACTATTCATTATTTATCTTTTCCCTTTGGGTTCAGTTTTTCATAATTTCAACATAAATGTTCACTGTTACGCTGATGATACTCAGTTACATATTTCAACCACACCATCCACAATCATTCCACCATCTTCATTCACTGAAGGCCTTACAGAGATTAAATCCTGTTTTCTTCCAACTTCCTGAAATCTGACGAAACCCAAGTGCTTTTCATGGGCACAACATCAACACTAGGGAAGGCCACACAATTCTCAACAGCAATAGAAAACACTGCTGTCATATGCCTAGGTCAGAGAGCCTTGATGTTATTCTGGACAGCTCCATGCACTCGTCACCATTTCAAAACTCACCTCAAGATAGCCTAATTAGTTTTGTCAAGGTGACTACTCATTTATCGTTGTCGTGCTTGTGTGAATGATTGTGCTTCCTAGTGACCTTGAGTTTTTAGAAAGGCTCTTCAAATAAAACATATTATTATTAGAACAAAAATGAAGAAAAAAATAATAACAACTGTGAAATGCTCGTTAATATATTCAAAAAGCTTAAAGAACAAAGTGTTTTAAAATCAGGGTGATATTCAATGTTTGAACTGTTTTCTTCAGAGACAACAGGGTTTACATTTCCCATGAAAGTTTTTAAGACGATTAAAGGCTGATCAAGTTCCCCCACAAACAAAAGCTGGATCAGAAACAATTAAACTTCACTTTTCAAGCGGCTCCTCTCAGTTTCTCTGAAGTGGTTTTGTTGAATCGCCTCCACTTTCATTGATATCTATCTTTTTTGTGTATGAATGAACGGTAGAGGAGGAGAGGGCTCGGTGGAGCTGGGCCCTCTGTGATAGGTCGATGCTGGTTGACGTCACCTCCGCCGTGACGCGATGCACCCATTCATAAAAAACACACAGAAAAAAAAGAGTACTGAGGAAAGACGTACAGAGAGGAGATCGACAGGGAGGATAGAGGACCTAACGCAAGGAGCAGGGATGCGCGGATAAAGAAGTGAGGCGCGGAGGGGAATCCAGGATCCGAGATTAACCTCAACAAACACACACACTCACACACACACTCAGAGCTGGAGCGAGGAGCGATGGAAGAGCTGCGTGAGATGGACTGCACGATGCTGAAGCGGCTCCTGAAGGAGGACGGAGCTAATAAGTGCCTGCTGCTGGACTGCCGCTCCTTCCTCGCCTTCAGCGCGGGCCACATCCGTGGCGCCGTCAACGCCCGCTGCAACACCATCGTCCGGAGGCGGGCCAAGGGCTCCGCGCTCAGCCTGGACCAGGTCCTAGCCGGGGACGAGGAGGTCCGCCTCCGCCTGCGCTCTGGGATGTACTCCGCCGTGGTGCTGTACGACGAGCGGACACCGGACACGGACACCGTGAAGGAGGACAGCACCGTGAATGTGGTGCTCAACACGCTGTACAGGGACTCCCAGGGAACACGCACATACCTGCTCAAAGGTAAACATCTGGTTTCAGCTGGTCATCCCAGCTCAGCCCTTTCATCCAATTACTCAAAGAATTATATATCATTGTATGGAAGGAATGAAAGGTTAGGGTATAATTATAGGCAAAAGGATCGTTTAGAATAATGCTTCAATTAGTCAGAAATGGAGTAAGAATATCATTTTGTTTAGAATTAGAACATTTTAGTAAATTGCAATATATTTATTAAATTGATGCAATAATAAAATAGCTGATGATCATTTTTCATCAAGTAAACAAAATCTTAAAGAAGAATAAAGACGTCCTAGGGATTTCACACACACACACACACACACACACACACACACACACACACACACACACACACACACACACACACACACACATATATATATATATATATATATATATATATATATATATATATATATATATACATACATACATAGTGGTGCATGCCTCTTATATACACACTCTCACTCACAGCTACACACTCACACAGACCAATGACTGGGAGCTGAGTGAATGAGGTAATGCTGATGCGTAGAAGCCACATCAAAGCAAACGGACATACAGAAACAGCCAGGATTATTTCATAAGGAATCTGGTAAATCACCGATGGGAAGGTTGAAACTAGAGAAAGACAAAAAAAGATAAAACACCCCTGGTTTGTATTTAGGCAGCGAGGGATCTGGAAACCGAAGATGTTGCTCAGAGCAGTGGTGCATCCCTCCACCCTTTTGATGCAGAAACCCTAAAGCACAATAGTGTGTTTGGCTCGATGCAGCGATGTTATTGTGGTTTTGGTGGAAGTGGTGAGGCTGCAGGGGAACTTTTAAAAAAGGGGTTTTGAATCAAACAGGAAGAGGAGGTTTGTTTATGACAAATTAGAGATTTGCCTAAAAGTTGGCTGATCATCAGAACCGGTCATGACCAGTTCGTCCAACATTCAATAAGATTTATTGTTTGGGTGTGTTAACTCACTATCAAGATGCAATAAAAAAAATCCAACATTGTTCCTTATCCCTAAACCCCAAAATATTTTAATTCATGTTCTATGGTAACTAGATAAAAAAATAATCTTACTAATTATAGCTAATTATAGCTCTTTGAAATAATAAGTTAAAATCAGAGTTGGTATCAGCCATCCAAACCAGAATTGGTGCAAATAGAGAAAATCCTGCAGCAGATTATAACCAAAGGCTTAATTTTTCTACTTAAAATTTCAGTCACGATGTATTCTAACTACCCATACATCTTTATTCTTCTTGCAACACGCTGTCTGATATTTGTGGATGTTTTTGTTTGTTTTGCTTACAGGAGGTTACGACCGATTTTTCACTGAGTATCCAGAATTTTGCATAAAGACCAAATCCATCCCGTCCCTCAGCAGCCAGTCCAGCATGGACTCCTCCTGCTCATCGTGTGGAACGCCGCACAACGATCAGGTAAAAACCGACCTAGCTTACAAAACAAAACCGATGCCATTTATAACCTTTACACCATTATTAGAATTACTGGAATTTAACTTCTATTAACAGTCCACAAAAATAATATTTCTAATGTGTGTGACTCAAATGTATAAAGTTGCCAGCTGCTCCTCGAATCAGCTGATAAAATCTGACTTTATGAAGATTTAAATATAAAATTTCCATGTTTCATTAATTTCAACTGTTCATCATCACCAGCTCTCTTCTGCTGTTTGAGTGAATGTTCAGCGCTCGATCACTTCCTGTGACCTGGCTGGCCTTGTTCAGTCAGACAGTGATCTGTTGTTAGAGCCTGTGGGTTTTATGCAACGCTCACAGTCACATGTGATTCGGGCTTAATTCCCCTGGAATTCACGAGGGCAGAAGCAAAGACAACCCTGGCTCTGTGTGTGTGTGTGTTCTCCAAGAAAACTGCTTCTTTGTCTTTGTCAAGTGCATTCTCATTTAAAGAGACGCTTCAGCTTCCTGTGGCAGCGTGAGCGTGATGGGCCGACTCCCCCGCCCTCATCGCTCCACACCTCTTTGTAGAATCGATCATTTCCTGACTCCATGTCCGTACTAAGTTCGTCAGCAGCAGCAGTGACATAAACAGACACAGCTTTCTGTCAATAAGTCACCCTGCTAGTATAAACCTCCTCTGGCCAGCTGACCTCTCACAATCATTAAAAGAACAATTCTTCCTGTCGTAGTTTTAATGTTTGGAGTTCAAACTACAGATTCTGGTTTTGGAGGCCCGATACCAGCTGATTCTGATTCACGTCAAAGAACCATAAACGACATTAAATTTATTTATTATGATTCTGGAGATAAAAAATGATCATGCTAGTGTTTTAGCTGCTATTTATAATCAAGCTAAAATCACTTAAAATAAAAGCTTTTTGTTTTAATTTGTTCTCAGTGAAAACAGAGTCAGGGAAGAATGTTTCAACCCAAACCGGCGAAAATTCTGGGTGTTTTTTATGTTCTTGCAGATACTTCCTAAGATGTTTCATAAATATTCATCCCTCAGAGTTGCTGCTGCATGCTTGTTTACTGCACAGCGGCCCTTTTTGTCAGCAGCTGCTAACACGTGTTGCTGGGTTGAGGAAATCCTGCCATGCAGCATGCTCTACTTAAGGAGTGAAGACGTGCAGGTTTATCATATGAATGGTTTGGTTTGAGGCAGAAAAGCTTCAGCGATGTGAGATCCAGTCTTCTGGCTCAGTGCATGCTCCTTTCTGAGTAGATAAAAACAGATGTGTAAAAATGAATTTTGACATCTTTTTTGTCTAGGGCGGCCCCGTCGAGATCCTCCCATTCCTCTACCTCGGCAGCGCCCTTCACGCCTCAAAGAAGGAGGTTTTAGACGCCATCGGAATCTCCGCCTTGTTGAATGTGTCGGCCGACTGCCCCAACCACTTTGAGGGAGCGTACCAGTACAAGTGTATCCCAGTAGAGGACAACCACAAAGAAGACATTAGCTGCTGGTTTCTGGAGGCCATTGAGTTCATAGGTCAGTCATTTACATGACGTGTTTTGTGTGGGGGGTTTCCTTCTTGGATTCTCCTCTTCGGGGGATCAGTTTGTTTACATTTTTGTTCTGGTAAAATACCTCATTACTGGAGTACTTCCCCTAAAGAGCATCTGCTGATCCTGCCACAAATTCACGAGCACATAAAAAGACATTAGTCTGCATGATGATGAGTTCAGTGCAACATGGGTGTATTAGGAAGTGAAGTGTGCTTTTGCTTTGCATATCCGCTGTGAGGCCGTGTGTGTGTGTGTGTGTGTGTGTGTGTGTGTGTGTGTGTGTGTGTGTGTGTGTGTGTGTGTGTGTGTGTGTGTGTGTGTGTGTGTGTGTGTGTGTGTGTGTGTGTGTGTGTGTAGGTGTAGGTGCTGGTATGCGTCATACTTAGCTGCTGTGGGACCAGAGTCTGACTCATCCGCTGTTACTGGGTGAACAGACGCCGCTGTGGAGACACCTGAAGTCTGTCTGTGTGAGAGTGTGTGTTCAACATAATGATCCGGATTAAGACGGCACCAACAAAAGGAAGTGATTCACTAACAAATGATGGATGGGAGGAATATTTTTGGAGTAATGTTTACATAAACACCTTTCACTATTCTTAGACTGTGTGTTATTCTTGCTCCTAAAATAATTTTGATTAAATTTCGAGGCGTATCAAGTTGGAATCTTCTGGTCTGGAGCCATCACATATTTACTGTGAGGTTAAGATTTTCTATAAATCTATTTCTTACCTAAGCCCTGATGATAAGCAACAGCATGCATTCTTAAAGTAGCAAAACCCTAAATAAGTCAGAAGAGGAAGTGTGAAAAAGATGCAAATGACACCACATTTGCACTTGTGTGCTCTAGTTACTGTAAATGTGACTTGCTGCTTTCTCACTTTGAGGTTAGCTGTGGGTTGGAAGCTGCAGGGAGGCACAGAGGCGTGTGGGAGAGGAAATGGAGGTTTGAGAGGAGGCGCCGCCGTACATCTGGTGTGTTAAAGACACTCGCAGGGTGTGAACAGATCTAGACAAACGGGGACAGTTTGTTCAAGTGGAAAAATGTGCATTTATAATTGCATTAGTTTGTAATAGAAAAATTATTTGGGGATACAAAATTGATGAAGCTATTATCAGAATGTTTACTATTTCTATGAAATACCAGCAGTCAGACATGTCGGCTGTTTTTGTGGATATTTGATAAGAAAGGTATTCAAATCAGATGAATACGTTGGTTCATGGCAGAGACACACTGTCCCTTTAGAGTAGAAGCAGCTTCATAATAAAAAATACAAACAAATAACCCTGACTATCCCTAAAACCAGAGTTGCCATAGAGCCAAATGAGCACTGATTAGTTTGCATTATTGTTCAATTGTAAGCTAAACAGCAATAAATTATATACCCATTATTTGAGTCCTAATTCATAATGCAACATTAATATAGGCCTGCCAACAGAATGCTAACAAGCTAACTTTAAACCCCAGCTAATCTACTCAGTCATGAGAATAATTAGTTAATAATATAATAAATAAAATAGACTATAGGAAGCATTTCACGTCACTTTGAATAAAATTCTCAGTGACCCCTTCAGATGCCTCAAATGAAGAATAGAATATCAGAGTCAGGTATATTCAGATAATTAAAAGTCTAAACTTACCATAAAACAGTGAGCATGCTCCAGTGTGAGTGTCGTACAGCTTCCAGTTCATTCAACATGTTTGCATCTCTGTCAGAAACGTACCTTTTGAGAGAGATGTTGTCTTGCACATTTGTTGAACATTATCAAAATTCCCAATAACTCAAGCGAGAAGGTTAAAGGACTCATTATGTGCCATCATCCAGGTCACTACTGTCTCTATAAACACTCCAGATGTGGAAAAGATAACGCCCATAAGTTTTCTGTCAATGTTTGTCTTCAGCAATTATTAATAATAATAATAATAATAATAATAATAATAATAAGTGTGTGAATGTGTAAATGCATGAATAATGGAAAGTGTTTCGAGTGCCTTGAAAAATGCAATATAAATCTAATCCATTATTATTATTAGCAATTATTTTCTTATAAAACAAGCTGCTTTCAAATGTATTAATTAAACGAGCGAACCACATTTTTGCAGTGACAGAGCACTGAAACGGCTCATTTTGGAAGGTACTGAAAATGTCAGGAATAAAACTGCTCAAATCACTTATTGTGAGAGGGCTTTTATGCAAACAACTCCATCAAAATGGTTTTTAATGACCAATGAACTATTTTTACTTAAGAAAAAACTTCACAATATCCTTTAAAAGTCCTTGGAAATGTTTTGGAACTCACCTGTGAACACAGCTTGGAGTTTGTTGCCATGTGATGCTTCTGGTAAATGTTTAAAGCCACCTGTGGCTGGAGAGAGGCACAGTGAGAGAACTTTAACATGCCAGGAAACATCTTTGGTATGTTCTTACTGTGTCTAGTTTCTAATTCCATTTTTGGTTCTTTTTTCAAACACCTGTGTTTGAAAAAAGAACCAAAAATGGACTGTCAGGAATATTCACAGATCCTATCATCTGTTGTTAGTGATAGAGAAAACATCTGACCTCTGACTTCTCTATTTTCACAGATTCAATACGGGACTCCAGTGGACGAGTGCTGGTCCACTGTCAAGCAGGCATCTCCCGCTCGGCCACCATCTGCCTGGCCTACCTGATGAAGAGGAAGCGAGTACGTTTGGACGAAGCATTCGAGTTTGTGCGTCGGCGCCGCAGCATCATCTCCCCCAACTTCAGTTTCATGGGACAGCTGCTGCAGTTTGAGTCGCAGGTCCTCGCCACCTCCTGCGCAGCTGAGGCGGCGGCCACGGCAAGCCCGCTGCTCGGACCCAAGTCCACGACAGCCACCGCCTCAGTGACAGCCCCGCCCAACTCTCCGTTCATTTTCAACTTCCCAGTCTCTGTGGTGAACCCGGTCTACCTACATCACAGCCCCCTCACGACCTCGCCCGGCTGCTGATGCACGGCCCTTCCCCTGACACTAAGTGAGCACAGACTGGGCGTCCATTGACCAGAGGAGAATCCAGTCTCACTGACCACAAGCTTCCACGGCAGGGAGTTGAGGAGCGTCACGGTGCCTGATTCAAAACACAATGAAAAAACCTTTTTTTGTTGTTTCTTTTTCTCTGAACTTTACAAACCAGCCAACGGTCTGCTCATCTTCACAAGACGTTACTCCAGATGACCAAAAATTAGATTTCCACTCTTGTTTTTGTGACAAAGTTCACTCAGAGTGTTGGACTGGTTCACCTTCTTCCGATGTACACACACGCTTACACAAACGGTCTAGCACAGAGAGGCCTGAGCAGCACACACACCCACAACTACTGACTGAATAAGCTCAGTATGAAGATAGCTTGTTGCTATGGAGACGAGGTCTTTAGGAGAGGAGATGGACACAGGAAGGAAGGAGGAATTTTAAGCACCCGCTCTTTCCTCTTTGGGTGTCCCTCCTGCTGCCCGACAAAAGGAACGGATGAAAAAAAAAGAGAGGAGGGGAGTTGGTGACAGAAAGCAGGAGCCTCTTCAGTGACAGGTGTTCTGTTGGGGATCCGACCGGAGCTTCCTGTCCTTCAGACGTCCTCTTCCTCCCCCCTCGCCTCACCCTCCTCCCCTCTCATCTCCTTTTCATTCTTTTATACTTCCTCCCTCCTCTTCATCCTCTCATTTGAAGCCCGCCTGCACCCTCTTCTCAGCTCTTAGTCTGAAATAAATAAAATATGATGCCAAAAAAAGGCAGGGGTCCTTGTAAATGGACCGGGGAAACCCTGACCGGATGTGGGAAGCCCAGAAAATGTATTTTCTTTTTCTTCATTTTTAGATGAAAGGGCTGAAAATTTGGGGAATTAAGTGGTTATTTAAAAACAATATACATCTGTATATTATTATTAATAAGATGCATGCCGAAGATTTAAGACGTTTTTTGGCAAAGATTCTCTTTTTGGGTCAAACTTACGAGTGCTGGAAGACTTAAAGGACCATGCTGGTGTATTTTTTTTCTATCCTTTATCCACTATAAATTTCCTAAACTGTTGATCATTTTCCAAAAACTAACTTTTAAGATGTGAATTTCCATTTGTTTGTTTTCTGAATTTAACTCCACATTTGGCTCCTCTTTGGTGCCTTGAAAAATGTTTAGCTATGGAAAAAATGTACATCGTCGTTGGATGGTCCTTTAAGATGTTTGTGCCTTGTTCATAAAGGTATCCTCTTGACTTTGGCATTCCAGATAAAGTGGTGTTTTGTTCATTTCTCTTGCGTCCATATCTGCAGGATTTCTGAATGTTGGTCAGACCCCTAAAAACAGATCGGATGGATTTTTAAAGACAAGAAAATCTTAATTTTTAAAAAAAAAATTTAATATATAATTTCCCTGACACACTCTTTTAGGAACAATATAAATCTACTGTGAAAGAGTAGAGAATCGACCAGATATCAGATAGATCAGCGTAATCTGTGCTCTAAAAGTTAAAAACATCCCATCCTGGTCTGTAAATACCAAGCAACAATAAAATAGGTTAAAAACAAAAAGTCATTTCACAGTTCAGATCTTCCATGCAGAAGTTTTTATTTATTTTCTATTTAATCATAAAATATTGTATTTTGTTAATTATAGTCCTTAGATACCTCTGAATCTGACACAATCATAACTCAAATCAGAAATCGGCCCCGAGAACCAGAATCGGTGCAAAAACAAAAGCACAGGAAAAGCAGCCGATTTTCTGCTCGTCACCATTCATGACATCACTATCTGAAACATTACTAGTGTTAATTCAGGCTAAGCTGTGCACTGTGCTGGACCAACAAAACGCAAAAAACAAGCATACAACAGTCCTGACGTACAGGAACAACACACACACACACACACGCTCGAGGTCTCAACTAAACTCTGTTCTCAAGAACTGTCGGCACCAATCTCTGTAGCACTTTGAAGTGATGCAATACTGTATTTGTAGTTCATGGTTGATTTGCACATCGTGGTGATGGCCGACTGACTTGAGTTTGTTGAAGTGTTCAGAGAAACGAGACCCAATCGGTGAAAAATGCAATACTTTGTACACATGTATGTGTGTGTGCTTGAGTGTGTGTTGTACCCACCTGTTTATCTGCCTCTCTGTGTTAGTCTGTCTCACCCGGTTCTGTCTCTCTGTTCACCCAACGTGGCAATATAACGTCCACAAATGACCCCCCCCCCCCCCCCACACACACACACACACACTTTTATTGTCTACTGAATGATCTGTACATTTATTTATTACTGAAGATTTACCGTTGAATAAACATTATTCTTAAGTAATCTGTGTGTGTACTTTTTTTAACGCTTATACATACAGTGGATACGGAAAGTGTTCAGTTCAATTTTCCACTCTTTGTTATGTTGCAGCCATTTGTTAAAATCAAATAAATTCATTTATTTCCTCAGAATATTTCTTCATATTTCTTCAGAATTTACTTTTGTTTAGTTGGTTTCTCATGTAAGTAAAAGTCAGTGCTTGTTTTAGTAGGATATAGTGGTTAAACAACTCCCAGTTAAAAGTATTAAACTAGCAGGTTTTTACTTAAAAGCCAGCTTCCAGTCAAACACAATAAAACATAGTTTGTTGTATTGTGTCATATTTGTATTGAGTTGTACAGTGAGGAACAAAAGTTTTCAAACAATTTAGCAAGTTATCCCCCTTAGAAATCATGGAGGGGTCTGAAATGAACATTGTAGGTGCATTCCCACCGTTAGACAGCCTTTTAAATAAAAATCAGGAAATCACATTGCAGGATTTTTAACGAGTGTATTTTAATTGCAATGCTCTGATACACATACGTAATCTTCGTCAGTTGTTATGGTCAAACGTGGATGAAACACCAGTAGGCAAGAGTTGCTTTATTAGAACTAGCTTCAGCATCAGGAAACCATTTCCATCTCATCCCCTCCACCTTTCCTTCTCTTACAGACTGAACTCCTATCCTAGGCTCCCCCCTAGTGGTGGACACAACACAGCAAGCCTACAACAGATCATATTTACATGTTCAGTCAGCATGGAAAACTGCTTATAATCAAAACATGTTTTTTCAATGTTCCACACCTTTAACGGACCAAACATCCCAGAATAGATAAAAGCCAACAAAGGGAAATGCTGAATTTAACCCAGTGGGGTCCCTGCGCTCTGGGGCAGCTCCTGAATCTCTGAGACTTGGAGCACCCTCCTTCTCCTGCACATCTTTGGGGGGCAGATCTGTGACCCCTCACACTCTCTATTGGGCGCTCATAGAGAAACCGTACATATACAAGTGTGTGTACACACAGGTGCTCTCATGGTGCTCTCATAAGTATTCTCCATGTTTGGTCGAAATTACAAACATTCAAAAAACAATAACAATAAAGTTTTAAGTACCAGGCTTGACATTAAAAGCAGAAGCTTTGATGCTCCACCTGAAAGTAAATCTGTAAGGCTTGTCACCAGCATTCAGACATTAATTTTGTTTGCTTCACAGCCAGACAAGACATGGTAAAAAAAATAAAAACAACAAAAAAAAAAAAAAGAAAAGAAAAATAATTTAACCCACTGGTGACATTTACAAAGCTGATTCACCCAAAAAAAAAAAAAAAAAAAAAAAAACATCCACCAGCTGATAAGATGCAGCACCTATGGTGCTTTGAGTGCAAGGTGGAATCTATTTACCTGAAGAGCTTAGTAAACAGCCGTGGCAGAGCTACAGCCAGCAATCGGAGCTCACACAGGTGTCACGTGCTGCTCCCCAGCCCTGGTTGTCTCGACTCCCCAAGGTGTTAGTGTTTAATTAGTTGCACCTGCCTCACCTGCTCCTAGTGTATTTAAACCCTGCCAGTCCTGTGTCTTGGTTTGTCTGTTGTCCTTTGTCTTATGTCTTATGAAACAGGCACATCTGAGCTTTTTTCCCAGAGAAAGGCTTGCAAGGCATTCATTCCTAGTAGACTGTAAATGCAGTGGCGGCTGGTGAAAAATATTTTTGGTGGGGCTGTGCTATTTTTTATTTTTAAACAAACTTGTGCTTTCTGCACAACTTCACTATTTCCTGAATTAAGCACAGCTCTTTTATTTCCTGTCTTACATCATTGGACAAACTGATTAATCCAGGTGTGTCTGACTATTGGCACACTGCCTTGCAGACCAAGGTTGAAAAATACTGCATTAAATTGCACATAAAATAACATGACCATAAATGGTAAATAGGCAATGCAAGAGGCAAGTAACAAAAACATTTTGTTTAATTTCAACATTTGAGTGAACACGAAAAATTATGAGCAGGTCACTGTTACAGTAATGGTAGTAAACACTACTTAGACAAAATGCCAGAAATTTACACTGTTAAATATTTCTGGAGTGTTGTGCCAAGGTCAACTTTATACAAAGATCAAGTGGATGCATTTGTGTGTGTGTGTGATACCTCATTTGTACAGAAATTTTGCCCTTCTGTCCTTCTGAGTGGCAAAGCTCTCGATTAGCTTTTTATTGAAGTCAGGAATGTTTGTGACAAGCTTTTTTTCCATGGAAAGCATGGCAAGAGCATTCAGCCCATCTTGTGTCATGGTGTTCCTCAAGGAAAGTCTTAATCCTCTTTAAAGTAGATAAATAGAAAAACAACAGATAAGTACATAGGAAACACTTTCATAGGAAATAATGTCATCAGTATCCTCTTACAAATGTCATATTTCCCAGTTTTTGGGACAATAAAACATTTCTGATTCTCAATCAGATGTTTTTACATTTGAGGTAAAAACATCTAATTGAGAATCAGAAATGTTTTATTGTCCCAAAAGCTGGGAAATTTGTTTGCTGCAGCAGAAGTGTAACAAGTAAAATGGAATCAGATTGATGTATGTACAAATTTACATGAAATACACTTTTACGTGATTAAATATGTATAATAGGTATGTGTGTTGAAATTAGTTTTTACAGTTATTGCACATTAAACAATGTACATGTTATTAAACAAATGTCCCGGTTTGTGGGACAACCAAGGATTTCTGATTCTGATTGTCTTGTTTACAGAAATGTAATGTACAGCTCACCTCTGCACCCAGCTGCTGTTCTCCCTGTCCAAACGTCCTCCGTTTCTTTGTTGGCTGCTGCACTGATGCGCTGCATTCCTCAGTCAGAGAATGAATGAGTCCCCAATGAGACACAAGTTCCACATCCACCTTCTGTGGATCCCAGCCGTTTTGAATAACAAACACAGAAAGCAAAATAACGCATTAGCGTGATTGCATCCAGCTAGCCACTGCTTCCTGGTGTACCAATTTTGGGAGAAGCGTCGTGTGTACAGTTTACCCTTCTCCTTGTCCTGCTGGCTTATCTTTACGTCGGGCTGATCTGGTCCAAGCTCTTTGACATTAAGTTTTTCCACCATAGTTCTCCTCTCGAACGGATACTGGAGAAGAGACCGAACTGAATTCAGTGGCTGCTGAGATCCGGTATCCATGTTGTAGGCGCACTGGCATCCATGTCTACGTCTGCGTCATGACCGTCACGAGTCACGACCAAAAACGTGCTGGAGTTGAGACTCTCCGAGTTCTATCGAACACCAACGAAAGCCTTGGCGGTAGCTCTATTGCCCATCATGCTTCTGAAACGTTCTGAAACAACGTCGACGCTGATTGGATAAATTCCCATTCCTACCCTTTGATTTTCTTGTCAGCAATTGGACAACTGGTCCCGTCTTGTTTGGGCAATTGAAAAACAGCTCACAGCCTCCACCGCTCGGCAGAGACCGGCAGAGATCGGCAGAGACCAATATAATAATAATAATAATACATTTTATTTCAACAGCGCCTTTCTGAACACTCAAGGACACTTTACAGAGATAAAATACACAACAATAAAAGATAAAACAGCATAAAACAAACAGACAGATTGGAGCAACGAGATTAATTATTGGAATGCTAGACGGAACAGGTGAGTTTTGAGTCTGGTTTTAAAGAGAGTGAGGGAATCAATGTTACGGAGGTCAGGAGGAAGTGAGTTCCAGAGCTGGGGAGCAGAGCGGCTGAAGGCCCTGCTCCCCACAGTGACCAGATGGAAAGGTGGGACTGAGAGGTGGATGGAGGAGGAGGACCTGAGGGAACGGGTGGAGGTTGAAGGATGAAGGAGGTCTGAGAGGTACGGTGGAGCTAGGTTATGGATGGCTTTGAATGTATATAGACGAATTTTGAATTGAATTCTGGAAGTGACAGGGAGCCAGTGGAGCTGCTGAAGAACAGGGGTGATGTGGTGGAAGGAGGGAGTTCTGGAAATGATGCGGGCTGCCGAGTTGTGGAGAAGTTGGAGTTTATGGAGGGATTTGTGAGGAAGACCGAAGAGAAGAGTGTTGCAGTAGTCAATACGGGAAGTGATGAGGCTGTGGACAAGAATGGCGACCGAGTGAGTAGTGAGGGAGGGGTGTAGGCGGTTAATGTTATGTAGATGGAAGTAGGCAGACCGGGTAATATTGTTTATGTGGGACTGGAAGGATAGTGAGGAGTCGAGGATGACACCCAGACTCTTGACCTGAGGGGAGGGGGAAACTAAGGAGTTGTCGACGGGAAGTGTAAAGCTGTGGATTTTGGATAGTAAAGATTTAGTGTCGACAAGTAACATTTCTGTTTTATCACTGTTGAGTTTGAGAAAGTTTGATGTGAACCAGGCTTTGATTTCAGATAAGCAATTGGTGAGGGAGGAAGGAGGAAGTGAAGAGGAGGGTTTGGAGGATACATAGAGCTGGGTGTCATCCGCGTACCAATGAAAATGGATGTCAAATTTACGGAAAATATTTCCCAGGGGAAGAAGGTAAGTGATGAAAAGGAGTGGACCGAGAACAGAGCCTTGGGGGACGCCAGTAGTGACAGGGAAGGGAAGGGAAGTGAATGATTTTAGTTGAATAAACTGAGTACGGCCAGAGAGATATGAACGGAACCAATCAAGCGGGGTATGAGAAATGCCAAGGGAAGACAATCTATGGAGGAGGATGGTGTGAGAGATGGTATCAAAGGCTGAACTCAAGTCGAGGAGGATGAGAATGGAGAGCAGTCCAGTATCGGCAGCAGTGAGGAGGTCATTAGTGATTTTTATGAGTGCAGTTTCTGTACTGTGGCCAGGACGAAAGCCAGACTGGAAGGGCTCATAGAGGCTATTGAGCGTGAGATGAGCATAGAGTTGAGCAGAGATTATTTTTTCAAGGATTTTTGAAAGAAAGGGAAGATTTGAAATGGGACGAAAATTATTGAAATTATTGGGATCGGTGCCGGGTTTCTTTAATATTGGAGTAATAGATGCAGTTTTGAAAAGTGAGGGAACAATACCGGTAGAGAGGGAGGAGAGGATTATGGCGGTTATGAGAGGGAGAAGGGAGGTGAGACATGTTTTAACCAAAACTGTAGGGAGGGGGTCGAGAGAGCAGGTGGTGGGCTTGGATTTACAGATAAGATCAGATATTTCAGATGAGGTGGGAAGAAGAAAGGAACAAAATGACTGGCCGGGTGAAAAAATCTCAGGGGGAGGGGAAGAACTTGGAATTAATTGCTGGTGTATGGAAGCAATTTTCTGAATAAAGAAGGTTAATAAAGAGTTACATGAGTCAGCAGAATACAGGTGGGGGGGGGGGGGGGGTTGGGGGTGGTAGAGTCCGGGGGATGAAAAATATTGCGCATTATTGAGAACAGAGTCCTAGAGTTACCTTCATTGGAGGAAACCAATCCAGAGTAGAAAGCAGATTTTGTATGTTTAATTGAGTCCAAGTATTGAAGCAGATGAGTTTTGTGCATTTCTTTGTGTACTGCAAGACCAGTTCGTCGGCAGAGACCAATATAGATATATATATATGATTTATTTTTGTTACAAAACACACAATTAACTTAGAATATGTGATTATTGTTAATTTTATTTATTTATTTTTTAAAATAAAAATTAAAAACACAGGGGAAACTGGGAGGGCGGCGCCCTATCGCCCTCTACTGGCCAGCCGCCACTGTGTAAATGCATTGATTAAACGAGTGAACTACACCTTTAATAGTGTTTTTTGGATGCTAGGGGAAATTCCTACAATTGCTTGAAAGGGTGCTGGAGTTTCACTTTAGGGATGCCTCAGATGATGGAGGCCACTGAGCTCATCTGGGACCTTCAGAGCAGCAGAAATATTTCTACTTGAGTGTGACTGAATGTGCTGTGTTGTGAATACATAGGTACATGTGATTAGTTTTTTTTTTCCTTTAACCAAAATATGGGGGTGGGGGGGCATTCCTTTCACATTGTTAATATGGAGCCAGTTGAGGTGGCCGAGCATCTGGTTAGGATACCTTCTGCCTCCCTCATGAGGTTTTCTGGACACATCCAAGACCCAGGGCATGCAGATGAGACTGTGGGTGTTTCTCTATGCCAAGGAACCCTGCCTTGATGTCATGGTCATGCCACGGTTGCCTAGGAGATACGTCATCAGGAACCAATATCTCTTGGCTGGCCAGGGAATGCCTTAGGATTCCCCAGAGGAGGTGGCCCAAGCAGCTGGGGAGAGGGAAGTCTGGGCCTCCATGCTTAGGCTGCTGCCCCCGTGACCCGACTCCGGATTAACAGAGAAAAATGAATGGTTGTATGAATGCCAAAATGGTGTGTTGCATTTGGGGAAAAAATAAATTTAATCTATCTCAGGAATAAGGATATGACATGACAAAATGTGGGAAAAGTGATGTGCTGTACACTCAAAAATTGAATTGGTAGAACTTTTGCAAAATAGTGGGCTCCTTTCGACTGTTTTACTCACAGTAAATCATCATAAAAACATATTTGTAAAAGTTTTTTGTAATTTCATGTAAAACTGATGCAATAATCATATAAAGCACACACTGGGCCTAGAAAGTTCCACAGAATTTTATTTTAAAACTTTGAATTAACATTAAATTGGCTTTGATTGACAGGATTTCAATGTGGAAAATATGAACCTTGATTTATTTGTTTTTAATGGTTTCCATTTTAACCATAACCATGAAATGAACATTATCAACATGTTTAGTTTCATTTAACAACTTTTCTGGTCAGTAAAAACAAAAACAAGGTGAGTTTAGATTGTTTTTATTAATGATTTTCTTCTGTACAGGAGTTTCTGTTCCATGTTAGCTCTGTACAACAGCAGAAATGTGTTAATTTGTCCGGTTGCTTTCAGCAGTAGGCAGCTCACACACACACACACACACACACACACACACACACACACACACACACACACACACACACACACACACACACAATTTACTTAAAACAAAACTGGTCCTTAAGACAAATCCACCAGTAAATTTTTTTTTTGAAAAAAAAAAAAACCAAACATTTTTTTAAGTTTCCAAGGAGACGTGAAAAAAAAACAAAGTTCTCCGTTAAATGCTTCATATGGAGTTGAGTTTTATTACTTTGTTCCACAATTGAATTTCAAAAGTTCCCAGATAATAATCATTCATCACTGCTGCTTTTAATTGCACACGATCTGTCAGAACTCATATATGTAAAAATAAATAAATAAAAAAATAAAAATCAGATTTAAGCTGATCTGAGTTCAGTCTAACAGTAAAAGAGCTTCCCGTAGGGTCAACTGTTAGTGTTGTGGAACAACAACTACTAAATTTCACTTATTTATTTTATTTCTGGGTATGACAGTCCAATAGTTTCTCTTATTTCTGCTATAATCGTTCATCCTGTTCTCAAAAGCAATTTAAGATTGGCTGAAATGTCCAAATCATTTGTGTCTTCAAAGCAAGTGGAGGGTGAAAAGGAGGAAAAATGCTGATGTGAGAACTTTCAATCTTAAATTATATATATAAAAAAAGAAAATCTGTGCTGGAAATCATTGTTTCAAATTAAAGACTGCTTTCTGAATGCTTTTAAGGCAACATTACACCCATCTTCACCCCAAAAAGTAAAAAACAAAAGCCCAAAAACCTTCACAGTGGTTTAATTTGAGCTTGAAGAGACAGAGTGGTCCCATGACGATCAAAAAGCCTAACTATTACTACAAATGTTGTTAAAAAAAGAAAGAACTGGAGAATATAATGAGAACTTCCTGTGTGGCAAATAATGGCTCCATTCATTTAACTCATATTTAGAGCAGACATCATGACTCTCCTCTTCATCCTACAGGTTTCTCGTACAAATAAATACTGTAGACTTCCACGGCCCGTGACCTGAACGTCTCGCTGAAAAACAGCGACCTGGTTTCACTATTTACATTTATATACAAGTCCCCTCATAAAAAACAAAAAAGTAATTCAGGGAAAAAAGGCAGAAAAATAAAACTGGAATAGCTTTAAAACATGAAAATGTTCCCTTTCACTCGGCAGCACCAGGGAGCAGTTTTCCTGCTGAACCACTAGAGGGTATCAGAGGAAAGGGACAACAAGGCAGCAGGTTCATGTAAACAAACACACCAACATCCAGCTAAGCTTTCAGGTACATCATACAGAAAATCCCTCACAGGTGAGTGTGAATGAAGGAGAGGAGGAGAGGCACCGGGGAGGAGGAAATGAAACTGCTGATCTAAAAGTCTACAAAAACAATGACGTCAAAAGACAAATCAGGCTTTAGATGATCCGTTTTTAACCCTACACATTGAGTTTCTCCACCTAAATGTGTTAACGCCTCCCAAAACCTAAAGAAAAGCACAGCAGCCAACAGAAAAAGTGACTTTATATTCAGTTTTGGTGTCTTTCTGGCCTCTTCACACCTGCTCCTGTTAAGGAGTTAAGCACAAATCTGAGTGGATTAAAACCCAGCTGTCAGGGTTAGCTAAGCAAAATGCAGCCTGATAGTTTTAAAAGTACAATCATTTAAAAAAGCCCTCCTATCAGGGAGGTTAGAGTGATTTTCTAAGTGCGATGTGATTGTGCGTCAAAATATTAGTGTTTGATTTTTGTTCTCGTGCTTTTAAATGTGAAACAGGAAGGTTTGGATGTGATTTAAAACACAAACATCCTAATTCTTACACCTGTATGAGCTGTTTTTGTTTGTTTCAGCAGCATAAAATGAGCAGATTCATCCTGATTGGTCGCTGCAGAAGAAAGTTGGTCCCTTTATGGACTGTAGAGGAAAGTCTGCAGTCGTTATTCATAATAAGGAATCATGGTCTCCATTTGTCCTTTTAGTCTTCCGTTTAAAGGCTCTTGGGTCACATTTACCCACAGTAGTCTATACATTTACACCTACTGGATGGTCTCTTATTCCCATCTTGTTTACATCAGCCTCGCCGGGAGGAAATGTAACCGTGAATGATGGATTTGTGATGTCTCAGTACGACAGTCTCAAAGTGGCCCCCGTGGGGCAGTGTTGTTATGGACGATGCAAAAAAATAAAAAATAAAAAAAGTAAACGAGTATATGGTAAGTAAACAAGCCATTAAAATCAGAGCGATGGAACACAGATGCTGTAAAAAGGTTTGTTTGACTGCTGCCAGTCTTCTGTCATAATGGCTTCATTTAAAAAGGACAGGAATGATTCTTTCCCCAAATTGAAACTAAAAAATATTAAAGTTTTTTTTTAAATTCTAGACTGTTTAGAAATGAGATTTTAGTCCAAGGTGGTTATTTTCAGAGCCAGCAGCAATTTAAGATTTCTGCTCAGCAGCAGCAGCAGGCGCGGCCGGACTCTCTGGCTTCACGATCTGGTAGGTGATTAAATATTCTGGGTAGGCCTGAGGGGGGAGAACACAAACAGATAAAGCCAGGGACATCAGCGGAGCTGCCTTCCTTACTGTAAGATGTCTTTACTCCCTCACCTGCTCGCCTCTGTAGATGACATACTCTGCGTACGCCAGCCCGTTGACGCTGGGTCGTCCTATAACTGAATGGTGACCAGGGGGGGCGTGGGCCATTTTCATGGCGCTGAACTGAAGAAATGACTTTCCCAAAGTCACCCGGCAGAACAGCATCTGTCTGCAGATGTGTACCAACAAGATTATGCTTCTAAATGTCTTTCCATACGACAGAGGTGTGTGTGTGTGTGTGTGTTTTCCTACCTGTGACAAACGTAGCAGGAGCGGTCCTTATGGGTCGGACATCCCGTACCCCCACCGATCCCGTAAACATACTGGTTGCTTTTGGAGGAGTTCTCTGCAAAATAGATCCCCGCTCCGAACATGCCGCCAATGTAGGCGTGGCGCTCATCGAAGCCCTTATGGATGATCGCGTTGATGAACGGAGAACCTAGAGAGAGATTAAATGCCTCGGTAATAATAATAAAAAAAAAGGTCTTACTGCTCCTTAAGTGTTTGGAGTTTCTTTTTGTCGGAAATGTTTGCGGGCTCCTGTAGATCCTGTGATCACTGGAGCCATACGCAGCATTTCAAGCTTCATAGAAACCAGATTATTTCAGCTCGGCAGTGTTTCAAAGGACTCAGCTGCAGCCCAGAAAGTGATGTCTGGAGCAAAGCTTGGTGCCGGAAAAGGGGGATAGATGATAAATGAGACTCAGTGAAGTTTAACGTTAGGCTCTGAGCAGAGCTCACCTTGGAATATTGTTTTAATTCTGTCCGAAGAGAGAGAAGTGACAAGAAATCCAGAAGCAGGATGGATAAAGATTGCGTCACTTAGAGCAGCTTTGTTTTAGCTTTAGTCTGGAATCACATTTGAAGGCCTTTAAGGGGGAAAGAAGCTTTTCATTTTAAAGTTTGAATATTATTTTGGGCAAAGTACAACTAAACTACATTTATTAGTAATAAGGGAACCCAGAGCAACATAGAAAGCAGCAGTAATGATCAGGTCCGACTGTACTTTTGCACACATACGTAACTCACCATGAAAGAGCATTCGCTCGTTATGATGGTTGTGATTCTCATCAGCGATCTCCTTCTGACGGTGAGCATATCGCTCTCTCAGCTTCTTATTCACCACCTTCTGAATCTGCACTCACGGGAGGAAAAGAGTCGGCTGGATTAGCAGGGGAAATTGTTGCAGAAACGTTAAAACAGAGCTAAGTCGTGTGTCTATGTGTGTGTTTTCTGCACCTTAATGATGTTGTAGCGGCTGAAGACTCCACCTGCGTTGCCTCCATCGCGGTGCTCTCTGATCGTGCTCTGCAGCTGTAAGATGACATCAACAAGCACGGCACAATCAAAACAACACAAAGAGCACACGGGAAATGACTCCAGCTATCTGCTCCAAAAATCCATACATCCGGCGAGGAACTGGAGCGCTAACTCGTTTAATCAGATACCTGCACGACGCCTGTGGGAAATTTAGAACAACCTAGCTGAAAAGGTGACGCATCAGCAGGAAAATCAGAGTGGCACTGTGGAGATTTAAAGAATAATGAAGCTGTTTGTTGGGAGAATGATGCTGTAATGAGGGTGGGAGGTGGTGGTGGTGGGGGGGCTGACTGACTGCTGTCATCTCCGTAAAAAAATAAAATGAAATAAATAAAAAAAACACCTCGCAACGTGCCGTTAATCTCTCAAGTCCCCGGCTGAAGACTAGGGTTTAAAGTACCTGTAAAATTCCTGTTAACATCTGCCAGCTCTCATTAGCTGCAGCTCGATGACGCCGTCTCCGTCCATTGCCGCCTTTTTGTTTTACGAGAACGTTGTAGTCAGTGAGGTGGTTAAACAGGCCATCTAGTTCATAGTGTAGCTGAACTGTGGCGACACTGCGCCGCAATGATGCACATGCTCCCTAAACCTGATTAATCAGCCCTGTGGTGACTTAAAACATCAGTTCAAATAAAAGTTTGGAGTCTTACTTCCTCCTCCACGGACTGGAACTCCTTGTCGTCGGGAGCCAGGTCGATCAGCACGGTGCCCTGGCTGGAGCAGTGGAATGTCAGATACGGGTTTCCACCTGCAAAACACACGTTTACAAAGTGAGTCGGGGAGTTAAAGCAGATTATTCAGGCTCTAATTTGGAAGACAAAGGGAGAGAGATTTTGTTGTTTACTTATAAAACGTAGCCTGGCAAGCCGTCCATGAAATTGTTAAGATTTCTAGGCTGTACAAAACATGCAAACATGTCATGCCTAGCCTTTAAATTGTGTTTATAAGAAAATGCGTTAATATTCACAGATGGACCAAAGAGCTGGCATTAGTTTAGTGTGTGTGTGTGCAAAAAATAAACAATAACATAATCCTTGGTTTTAGAGGTATGGTGTGAATAACCTTAGTAAAGGTTAGGGTTAGGAATAGACCAGCAATGGTTATGGTTAGGAATAAAGCAGCCCCCGAAATGAAAGGAAGTCAGTGACGAGTCCCCACAAGGTAGAAAGACAAATGTGTGTGTGTGTGTGTGTGTGTGTGTGTGTGTGTGTGTGTGTGTGTGTGTGTGTGTGTGTGTGTGTGTGTGAGTGTGTGTAGGTCCTGACCCTGCTGGCCTCCCAGGAGTCTCTCGATGCCCTTAATGAGTTTGTGCCTGTGACCATAAGCATTTATACCAATCTCCTTCAGCTCCTCGTGACCCATGTCAGCAAGAACATCCAGAGAAATCTGCCCAGAGACAAAAATAAAAACAATACTAAAAATAGAAAGAATATAAGGGACAACTGACTGCATTCAGGACACGTCTGCAGACGTTCCAGAGTTATTTTATTTACAGGCCTCAAATAAAAACACTGTTTCACAATGACAACAGCAGTTCATCCTCTGGATGTTCATCACAACTGCCAGCCTTTAATAGCCACAGGTTGAATAATCAATGTCGCATCGCAGATGAAAATAGGTCTGACAAATATTCATGAAAACAGGAAGAGGCAGGAAGAAAAGGTCACCGAACGGGTGGCAGTAATCACAGCGCTGATATGCAAATGGATTATGGTGAAAAGTCCTTTCTGCTCCCTGAGTTAGTTCGGGGAGATCGGAGATGAGATTCGCTCAGCAGGCACAGATAAATTTTCCCTGCATTGCACTGATCGCTGATAACAGTAATAAATCCTCACTGCCTGAATATGTTGTTGAAAATTTACTGAGATGTTCATCAAACCACCAGCACTTGCATTAAAAGTTTCTGATTTCAGTTTTTTAACTGTGCAGCCTCAAGGTTTTAGATAAGCTGTTTAAAACCAACATCAGAGGAATGTTTGGCAGTGAAACACTTAAAAAAACTGGAATAGACTTCTCCAAGTCCACCAGCAGACTGGACAAACACTCTGCTTAATGTGGTTTTGGTGTGTAAAGGAACACATCGGGTGTAGTGTGAGGTAAGTTAGAGTGGTTGAGCTGTGTGATAACTCACTGGTACTGTCTTGTGTGTATTTCAACTTGGGTAACAAACTGTGAAACAGAACTTTGACAGCTTTCCTATTGGGGCAATAAAGTAGTACTGCATTGTATTAGATTGCAATTTATGATATTTTTGTCTTTGTCTCTCCGACTGCTATGAGCATGTACATGACACAAGAATTTCCCTCGGGATAAATAAAGTTGTTCTTATCTTATATTGGAACACATCATAAGGTACTGTAAGGTATTGTATTGTAACATATGCAACTGTAAAGTACTGCAATTTTTATATTTTTAAAATATCGCAGCATTTAGTATAGCAGTGTATCATAATGTATGACATTGCCATTGTGGTGGCCCTGGTTAGGAATTTGCCCTGTAGCAAGAGGGTTGCCTGTTCAAACCCAAGCTCCATTCATGTCAGTCATTGTGTCCTTGGGCAAGACACTTCACTATAACTCATTTTATAATGTACAGTATTGTAATATAACTCATTTCTTTACATACAGTATTGTACTATAAGTCATTGTATTACGTATAATATTGTACTTCAACTCATCGTATTACATACAGTATTGTACTATTACTCATTTCATTACATACAGTATTGTACTATAAGTCATTGTGTTGCGTATAGTATTGTACTATATCTCATCATATAATGAACAGTATTGTGCTATAACTCATCGTATTACGTACAATATTGTACTATAACTCCTCGTATTATGAACAGTATTGTGCTATAACTCATCGTATTACATACAATATTGTACTATAACTCCTCGTATTATGAACAGTATTGTGCTATAATTCATCATATTACGTATAGTATTGTACTATAACTCATTGTATTACGAACAGTATTGTGCTATAACTCATCGTATTACGTATAGTATTGTACTATAACTCATCGTATTACGAACAGTATTGTACTATAACTCATTGTATTACATACAATATTGTACTATAACTCCTCGTATTATGAACAGTATTGTGCTATAATTCATCATATTACGTACAGTATTGTACTATAACTCATTGTATTGCGTATAGTATGGTACTATAACTCATCGTATTACATACAATACTGTACTATAACTCCTCGTATTATGAACAGTATTGTGCTATAATTCATCATATTACGTATAGTACTGTACTATAACTCCTCGTATTATGAACAGTATTGTGCTATAATTCATCATATTACGTATAGTATTGTACTATAACTCCTCGTATTATGAACAGTATTGTGCTATAATTCATCATAATACGTATAGTATTGTACTATAACTCATTGTATTACGAACAGTATTGTGCTATAACTCATCGTATTACGTATAGTATTGTACTATAACTCATCGTATTACGAACAGTATTGTACTATAACTCATTGTATTACGTATAGTATGGTACTATAACTCATCGTATTACATACAATATTGTACTATAACTCATCATATTATGAACAGTATTGTGCTATAACTCATCGTATTATGAACAGTACTGTGCTATAATTCATCATATTACGTATAGTATTGTACTATAACTCATTGTATTATGAACAGTATTGTGCTATAACTCATCATATTATGAACAGTATTGTACTATAACTCATTGTATTACGAACAGTATTGTGCTATAACTCATCGTATTACATATAGTATTGTACTACAACTCATCGTATTACGAACAGTATTGTACTATAACTCATTGTATTATGTGCAGTATTGTGCTATAACTGATTGTCTTACGTGCAGTATTGTATTATAACTCATCATATTATGAACAGTATTGTACTATAACTGATTGTATTACGTACAGTATGGTACTATAACTCGTTGTATTACGTATAGTATGGTACTATAACTCATCGTATTACGTACAGTATTGTACTATAACTCATCGTATTATGTACAGTATTGTACTATAACTCATCGTATTACGTATAGTATGGTACAATAACTCATCGTATTATGAACAGTATTGTGCTATAACTCATCGTATTACGTATAGTATTGTACTATAACTCATTGTATTATGAACAGTATTGTGCTATAATTCATCATATTACGTATAGTATTGTACTATAACTCATTGTATTAAGAACAGTATTTTGCTATAACTCATCGCATTACGTATAGTATGGTACTATAACTCATCGTATTACGAACAGTATTGTACTATAACTCATCGTATTACGAACAGTATTGTACTATAACTCATCGTATTACGAACAGTATTGTACTATAACTCATCGTATTATGTATAGTAATGTACTATAACTAACCGTATTACGTGCAGTATTGTGCTATAACTTATTGTATTATGTGCAGTATTGTACTATAACTGATTGTATTACGTGCAGTATTGTACTATAACTCATCGTATTATGAACAGTATTGTACTATAACTGATTGTATTACGTACAGTATGGTACTATAACTCGTTGTATTACGTATAGTATGGTACTATAACTCATCGTATTACGTACAGTATTGTACTATAACTCATGGTATTACATATAGTATGGTACTATAACTCATTGTATTACGTATATTATGGTACTATAAATCATTGTATTACGTACAGTATTGTACTATAACTCATCGTATTACGTACAATATTGTAATATAACTCATTGTATTACGTACAATATTGTACTATAACTCATTGTATTACGTACAATATTGTACTATAACTCATTGTATTACGTACAATAATGTACTATAACTCATTGTTTTACGTACAATATTGTAATATAACTAATTGTATTACGTATAGTATGGTACTATAACTCATTGTATTACGTACAGTATTGTACTATAACTCATTGTATTACGTACAATATTGTACTATAACTCATTGTATTACGTATAGTGTATAACTCATCGTATTACGTATAGTATGGTACTATAACTCATTGTATTACGTACAATATTGTACTACAACTCACTGTATTAAGTACAATATTGTACTATAACTCACTGTATTAAGTACAATATTGTACTATAACTCATTGTATTACATACAATATTGTACTATAACTCATTGTATTACGTACAATATTGTACTATAACTCATTGTATTACGTATAGTATGGTACTATAACTCATTGTATTACGTATAGTATTGTAACGTATCATACTGTGAACCCACTAGCTTTTGTTTGTAATCCTGCCACTTGTTGAGATGATGAAGGATGCACTTGTGAGAAATATTTGTCAAGATGGACTCTGTTCAATTCTATAGTCTATCTTTCTGTTCATTTTCCCTTCTTTTAGTTAGTTAGAGATGTCTGTCTTCATCCTCCTCTTCTGTCTTTCTTAGCAAACTAAAAATTTTAATTGGCACTAGACCCAGGTTACAGCTGAGGAAGATGGGGATGCCATGAGGTTAGCAGATGTGTTCCAGTAAAAAAACAAGCCATTGTAAATAATAAATGTAGTGGACTAATTACGATGTTTATTGTGCCACATTAAATTTGCAGAATGTTTTCAGCTTGTTTCAGAACCACAGATATATTTTGGCCATCCTTGATGGGAAAACTGGTCTCAGACTCACTATTAATGGTGACTTGTGTAGGACCATAGTGGTGGACTGGTGACAAAAAAAAAAACCAACATGAATAATGTAAGTAAGCTGGCTCTCCTGAGGCTCCTGTGTGTTTGTGTACCTGCTCTCGTTGGAAAATATCTCTCAGGTGCTCCAGTCCCAGACTCTTCAGGAACTGGTTGATGGTCATATCGAGCAGCGCTGCAGAAAAAACAAAACAAAACAAAAAAACATGTCGGAGTCACTCATTCAAACTAAAAACAGAGTTTATTTTTAGAGCCAGACGTTTTGTGTGTTTCATACTTTCGCCCTCCTTCCTGTCGGACCCAGATGCTCCATCTGCAGTACCAGAGGCCCCGCCCACTGTGATGTCACTAAGTGGCGCTGTCAGGTTGTCTATGCTGCTGGCTGCTGATAAGCAGGATGGAGACGGAGAAGGCGAAATGACCACACCCCCTGCTGCACCTGTACTCACCTGTGTTTGTGTGAGAAAATTTGATCATTTCATTGTAATTTTAAATGACAGGAAAAAATGCACAAATTCTCACAGAACAAACACTCAAACAAATTTTACACTTCAGCTGAAGTTTCTGCTGCTTTTGTCTCCCTCTGAGCTGCTGATTTGACTGATTGCAGGACTAATAAATGAGCCGACAGCTCGGCTGCATTCATCTCTCACTTGTCTGCAGACTTCACATGTCTGATTAGTTTTTAGCTCAACAGCTTTCAGATTGTGAAAGTAAACTCACAATTGAACCGTCTTTAGAGTTTAAGCTCAAAAACCAAAACTTGAGATCTTTCTTCTACTTAAGCTGGCCCCTCTGCTCCTTTCAGAGCTGCTTCTTCACACGCTTCAGGATGAACCGCCTGCTTTGCTTGATTCTTGGCTGACACTTTTTCATATTTAAAAAGGATCCTCTTTCATCAGCAGAAAGTTTATATTAGCAGAGCATTTAGAAACTTACCACAGTGGCCTGTGGCTTTAAACAGCTCGGCAGGGCGTCGGGTGGCATGGCGTCAATCAACAATGCTCTGATGTCATCGGCCTGCAAAGAATAAAGATAAATTGACTAAATCTGAAGAGACATATATGTATTGGACACTGTTCTTGGAGCAATGATTAGTTGACTCTTAATAACAACCATCAAGTTCAACTTTTAACAAAAGTCTCAGCCGTCTACATCTAGTTAGTAGGAGTTTAGCTCTTCCAATGTGCTTCTAATGCATCACAGCTCACTCCACCTCCCATCTTGGACACATCCCACTCCCAGCAGCTTTGCTGTTTAGGACAAAAATGATTAGTTCAACAAAAGTTGGCAACATTTGCAGAATAATGAGATGAACAAGGTATTTTTGTAATCCAAAGAGGTTCAAATAAAGGGTTTCTTGAAAACATTTAGCTTGTCATCCGAGGAGCTTTGTCAAGAATTGACAACGAACGTATGGTATAACAGTATCACCATAACTTTAAACACACACACACACACACACAACCAATGTTTGTTCACATCTTGTTGCCGTTTGCATATCGGATTCAGGAGGGGGAGTGGGTAGGCCATGTGGTTTTTGTTTTGCAGTGTAATGGTGATGCAGAGTAGGAGGTGATCTGGTCTTTCTTACACAGATTTGAAAGTGTAGGGAAATATATATAATATTATTTAATATCAGTTATCATCCATAACAGCAGTACTAATATCAGTTCTCTTTCTTAACATTCGTTTCGATGTCTCACTATGGGATACGCCCCTCCGCGGATTCCTCAGAAGCACTTATCTCAATACGCCAATCCTGATTGGCCAGTGACCGTGACGTACGCGTCCCCCTGCTACTATAAGTAGCAAGCGTCCCAACGTACGCACTATTCAATCACCTCTTCTCGCTTCGGTGGTCGCTTATCTCTGAGGTAAGTTAGCTCAACTGTTCACAGACGGAGCCTTCTAATATTCTCTCCGTCGCCGAACGTTAACTTACCGTCCTTCTGTCCTGACCTTCACCATAGGCTCGGGGCATAACGAGCAGCTTCACACTCCAGTGCATCTGTTCGTTCTATGCTAACACACCAGTTAGCCAACATGGAAGCCGCTCCTCCCACCAGAGGAGTCGACGGCGCAGGAGCTCGCCTCTATACCTGTGGGAACAAAATCTCAAGCAAAGACCCGCACAGGGTCTGCTCGAGCTGCCTTGGGCTGGAACATGCCCAGCTGGCATTGGAAGTCCTCGGGTCATGTGAGAGCTGCGCTTGCTTCACCCTGAAGAGCCTTCGCCGGCGGCTAGCGCGCCAAGCTAGCCTGTCGGGGAAGGACCCTTGCCTGCAGGCCCCTGGGCCACCGCCTGGGGACGCCAGCGAACATGTCCTCCCGGAGCCGGAACCGTGTGCCGAACTCAGCTGGGGCTCACAGCTCGAACTGGCCGGTCCGAGCCACCCCGCCGAGGACGTGTTGGAGTTGGACTACGGAGACGACGAGGACACCTCGGAACTCCTCATTTCAGAGGAGGACGAGGAGGACGACGTCTTTCTCCCCATCGCTCAGGCCTCCATGCCTAGCTTTCCGTCCTGTCCCAGGGATGGAGCGGCTTTTCCGGCCGCCCACCTGGACATGCAGTCAGTCTGCCGACGCGCTGCGACCAGGCTCAACATCCCTTGGCCCACCGTGGTCACTGAGGCTGTCAGATCCCGCTACGAGGGAAAGAAGCTGCCTCAGGCCACGAGGGCGGCAAAGCCCCTCCTTCCCGCATTCCCGGAGCTACTCCAAGAAGTGAGGTCCTCCTGGGAAAAACACCCATTCAGCTCCAGGTCTCCTGTCCAAGGAGCCTCCTCGCTGGACTTCAAAGGGATGGAGAAAGCTGGCATGCTTCGCATGCCGCCGATGGAACCGCTGGTTGCAGCCCACCTACACCCACGGCTCTCGGCGACTTCCTCCAGGCCTCCCGCTCTCCCTGCGAAGGCGGACCGCTTCCAGTCAGCGCTGAACGAGAGGGCGTACAAGGCTGCCGCCATCTCGGTCCGAGCTTTGAATGTCTCCTCCATGCTCTCAGCGTACCAAGCCGAGCTCTGTGAGGACATGAATACGAAGCCGGACCCGGAGGTGTGGGAGGAAATCACCGTACTGACCGACATCTGCCTGCGTGTGCAGCGCTGCGCGGTCCATGCTACGGCTAAAGCTATGGGCATGATGGTGCTTCAAGAACGTGCACGATGTCTGAACCTCACCAACCTCTCTGAGAGAGAGAAGGAGGACATTTTGGACATGCCAATCGTGCCTGAAGGCATTTTTGGCTCTGCCCTGGCATCAATGCAGCAACGGTGTGCGGCCAAAAAGAAAGAGGATGAAGCCCTTCATCTCTGCCTTCCCCGTAAACCCTCACCGGCGCTGCCGGCTCGGCCGAACCTGCCTCAGGCAGCTGCCCGAGCCCAGCCTCAGTTCCGGATCCCAAAGCACCCGAAGCCTCAAGCTGTCCAACCAGCTCCTTTGGGCTCAGAGCCTCGACCAGTTTGGCCTCATGGATCCGGCAACCAAGCTGCTCCGACGCCGGGACAATCCACCAGACACGGCGGTCAGCAGGTGAGGAGGAAGAAGTGGGCAGCCTGTCGGAGTTCTTCCCTCCCGACGCTGCAGCTGGTGGTTCCCCGTTCGCCAGCTCCTCCTGTTCGATGTTGCCATAGTGCTTTCTCCCCCCCTCACGGAACCCCTCCGGCAGAGTTCCCGAGCGGTCCAGGGTTGGGCCAGGACGTGCAGCCGGCGGTGCCGGCTCAAAACACACGTCACAAGCACTCACATTGTTTTTCACAAACATGTCACGCTCAAGGAGCATTAAAAGGTTCGCTGTCGCATCCAGACAAGATGTCAAGGGCGCAGCAAAAATCAATAAAATGTCACCCATGAGCGGTTCCAGGCGGGGGCGACCCCTGGCGGACTTTCCCGCCAGCCACGGGTCGTCCCCGTAAGCCTGGGCCGTCAAAGCACAAAGCCCCCGCGCATGCGCAGTGGCTGCCACGAGCACCGCTGCCCCACAACCTCTGGAGGGAGCTGCTGCTCCGTGTGTCACGGCTGTGTCACCGCTCTCCACTCACATGGAGGAATGGACAGCGGTTTCTGCTTCACGTTGGGTGCTGAGAACTATTTCGAGGGGTTACAGGCTCCAATTCGCTTCTGTTCCTCCTCGATTCTCCGGCGTAGTGTTCTCCCACGCCCAGGGGTCGTCAGCTCACATCCTTCAGGGAGAAATCTCCTCCCTGCTGGAGAAGGGAGCGATATGCATTGTGCCTCCCGATCGGTCTCAGAGCGGTTTCTACTCCAGGTACTTCCTGGTCCCGAAGCGGGGAGGGACCGGGATTCGCCCGATCCTGGATCTGAGGGCCCTGAACCGATGCCTCAGAAAGTACAGATTCAAAATGCTCACACTCTCATCCCTTTTGCGTCTGATTCACCAGAGCAACTGGTTCACCTCAATCGACCTGAGGGACGCATACTTTCATGTTCCCGTGTACCCTCCACACAGGAAATTTCTGAGGTTTGCCTTTCAGGGAGTGTGTTACGAATACACCGTGCTCCCATTCGGCCTCTCGCTGAGCCCGAGGGTGTTTGTCAGGTGTACGGAGGCGGCGATCGCCCCTCTGAGAGGGAGGGGCATTCGGCTGGCCACGTATTTAGACGACTGGCTCCTGCTGGCACGGTCCAGAGAGGAGACAGCGTCAAACACGCTGGTTGTGATCCTTCACTTGTGTGGTCTGGGTTTCAGAATAAACTGCCAGAAAAGCGCTTTACTCCCCTCCCAGAAAATAACCTTTCTAGGTCTGAATCTGGACTCAGGGGCGTTCACGGCCCGTCTCTCGGCACCGCGAGTGAACGCGCTCTCGTTCTGCCTGGCGCGCTTCCGCCTACACAGTTCGGTGCGGTTTGCGTTATGCCTCAGGCTTTTGGGTCTCATGGCGTCGGCTATTTCAGTGGTACCACTCGGCCGTCTACACATGAGAGATTCTCAACGCTGGGTGGCTTCTCTGGGTCTCTCTCCAGTGCGCCACAGAGCGCGCAGGGTGACGGTCTCTGCAGCGTGCGTCGCGGCGCTCCGCTGTTGGCGTCACCCCTCCCTCTTGGCACAGGGGGTGCCTTTGGGGTTGGTTCTCGTGAGGAAAGTGGTCACGACAGATGCGAGCCTGTCAGGTTGGGGGGGGGGGGGGCTCCTGGAGGGTTGCTCTGTCAGGGGTGTGTGGAGCAGAGAGCTCTGGGGGACACACATAAATTATCTGGAACTCCTCGCGGTCTTTCTAGCCCTGAGGCGCTTCCTGCCTTTTCTCTCCGGCCATCATGTCCTAGTGAGAACAGACAACACCATGACTGTGGCTTATATAAACCACCAGGGGGGGCTGCGCTCCATGCGGTTACACACGCTGGCACGCAGACTGATCCTATGGTGCAGCAGGCATCTCCTCTCAATCAGAGCCACCCATGTCCCGGGTCTTCTGAATCGGGGGGCGTATCTGTTGTCCAGAGGGACACCCCTGTACGGGGATTGGAGCCTGCATCCAGCAGTGTTGGAACAGATTTGGATCCGGTTCGGCACAGCCGTAGTGGATCTTTTTGCCTCCAAGGAGAATGCTCACTGTCCTCTGCGCGACCGAGACGCTCCACTCGGCATGGACGCGCTGGCGCACGACTGGCCAAGGGGACTGCTTTACGCTTTTCCCCCAGTGGCCCTGATACCACCCACCTTGCTGAGGGTATGAACCCAGCTCCACACTCTCATTCTGGTGGCCCCATACTGGCCAGCCATGCATTGGGTGGCGGTCATTTTCCAGCTCCTGGAGGGCCAACCTTGGAAACTTCCGCTTCGCAGGGACCTGATGTCCCAAGCGGGAGGCTCGATCTTCCACCCTCATCCAGAACGGCTGGCCCTGTGAGCCTGGCCCCTGAGGGGTGCGGGCTAGTGTCAGCAGAGCTGCCCCAGGCAGACCTTAAGATCCTGTCTCTTAAGGTGGTGCTACTCCTGGCTTTGGTATCTGCAAAGCGAGTTAGTGACTTACAGGCTCTCTCTGTGCACCCATCCTGCACCCAGTTTGCACCCGGTGACATGAAGGTGTCCCTGAAGCCCAACCCTGCCTTTGTGCCTAAGGTAGTGGGCTCCTTTTCTCCTATTATCCTCACAGCTTTCTACCCGCCACCCTTCTCCTCTCCTGAGGAGGAGCGGTGGCACAAGCTGTGTCCGATTCGCGCGCTCAAGGAGTATGTGAATCGGACGGAGAACCTTTGCAGGGGGGACCAGCTTTTTGTGTCATGGGGTGGGCCTCGTAAGGGGAAACCCGTCACAAAGCAGAGGCTTTCCCACTGGATTGTGGAGGATATTTCTATGGCTTACTCCTGTCAGGGCATTCAGGCTCCTGTTGGGCTCAGGGCCCATTCTACTAGGGGCCTGTCTGCTTCTTGGGCCCTTTTTCGGGGGCTGTCAATCCAGGAGATTTGTGCTGCAGCAAGTTGGGCTTCTCCACTTGCATTTGCACGCTTCTATAAGCTTGATGTTTCGGTCCCTGCAATGACTCACACGATTCTGAGTGTGGGGTCTTTGGCGGGCCAAGACGTATCCCTGTAGGTTGGTGATCACTGGATAAGCTGTCTGGCAATACGGGAGTCTCCATATCCCATAGTGAGACATCGAAACGAATGTTAAGAAAGTGAACTTTAGGTTACTGTCGTAACCCCGGTTCTCTGAGTAACATGAGTGAGATGTCTCACCAGACAACCCTTCTTGCTGGGCGAAGCGAGAAGAGGTGTTTATCTTGAATAGTGCGTACGTTGGGACGCTTGCTACTTATAGTAGCAGGGGGACGCGTACGTCACGGTCACTGGCCAATCAGGATTGGCGTATTGAGATAAGTGCTTCTGAGGAATCCGCGGAGGGGCATATCCCATAGTGAGACATCTCATTCATGTTACTCAGAGAACCGGGGTTACGACAGTAACCTAAAGATATAAATATAGGTTAAAATATTCATATTGATGTAACTTTACTTATGACCATATCATCTGTAGTCGTGGGGTCTGGCAACGCTCCATTGATTGCTCCCGGTCGCTTGCCAGGCTATATTTCTTCTGTAATTGCTGTGGCAATCTATTGTGCATGGATTGAATAGATTAGTCTGCTCAGATCTTTGTGCTTGGTCTTGACTTTCACTTCTGGTTATGGAGAAGTCAGCACGTTGTGTTAAGTTAAATAAATGTAACCAGCATTTTGCTTAAAGTAAACCTCCTCAAACTCTCTCCATCTCTGTCCATCTGACTGAACTGTTCAGAACCTTATTGTCGCAATTCGCTGTGTTCTCAGTCTCTTTTTTCCATTGGCGGCGCTTGTTTTTTTCTATTTCTACCAGCCATGTAACCTGTTACATGCGGCAGGCTAAAGCTACTCTAACATTAGCAGTTAGCAGTGCGTATGTCTTGTTGCTACTGAGTTGTGTAGCTCTTTTCTTTATATCGAAGTCCTATCGACTCGTCGATATGTCTATCGAGTAAAAGGTATTATGAAACGTATATTGCTATCGTTTAATCGCCCGGCCCTCATTTAAATAAAATGAAAACTGTGTAAAGAAGCACATCAGGAAGGCTCATTAGTGATGAAGGAGTTCCACCATCTCCCCAAACAGCTAGCTAAGCTCACCCACACATTTCTACCAAGCTGTGCCTCACAAATATAAGAGGAAATATAGAGGCCTTAATGACGGCCTCTCATTACCGTTGCCAAGTCCAGCGGCGCCTGTCCCTCCTGGTTTTTCATGGTGGGATCGGCTCCATGGGCCAACAACAGTGCACAGAGCTGAGTTCGCCCTTTCTGCGCTGCTTCATGGAGGGGAGTAAAAGCCCATTTGTCAGTGGCGTTGACGCACGTGTTGTACTTGATCAGGAGGGCGGCTATGTCCACGTGCTGCATGGAGATTAGAAAGAAGTCAAATTTATGGGACTATGTGAATCTTAGCTAAGCTCAGTGGCCTAGTGGTAGAGTGTCCGCCCTGTGACTTGATCATTCAAATCCTGGTCAGGTCATACCAAAGACTTTAACAATAGCACCCAATGCCTCCCTGCTTGACACTCAGCTTTAATGGGTTAGATTGGGGGGTTGAACCACCAAATTGTTGCCAAGCGCAGCAACAGTTGCAGCTCACTGATCCCCATGGGGACGGGTCAAATGTAGAGATGTAATTTCATCAGTGTGTGATGATGACTACGGGACTTTAATTAAGCAGATAAAAAAAGGTCATGATTTGTTTTTCATGCATTGTCTTCTGATTTATTTAGTGTAAAAAAGGGAACACAAGGCTTTGTGTTTTTCAGAAACAGCAGGGGATACCCTTGTGTTTCCACAATGCAGAACTTATTAAGCTTTCATGCAAACATGTGTTTCATGACTCTTTCAGTAGCGACATGCTGACTGCCTTTGAAGACCGTGCCATTCTGAGAAAGGCAAAAACACGAGAAAGCACATATTTTTGGAAAAGCTTGGAATAAAAAATAATGATAATTCTTCTCTAAAACAGGATAAAATAATAAGTAGGCTGATCTATCTTCACTGGATATAAACTGTACCCATAAGTACATTACAAAATGTCTTACCCCATATGAAGCAGCATTGTGCAATGGAATCAACCCTCCTTTGTCCTGAGCATTCACGTCGGCTTCGTGTTCCAACAGATACTCCACCACTTCCAAGTTGTTATAGCCAGCTGGTAATAGCACCAAAGTTGGGATCCATGAGGAAGACGAGCATAAAGGAGATACAGATGAAGAAGGGGGGGGGAAAGAGTCTGAATGAGCTGCACCATGACAGAACGTATCATCTTCTACAAGATGCATCAAGGCAAAAGGTGTGTGTTTAAGTGGTCATGTCTACTGAGTGTAAAAAAGACCTGTAAAGTGCCTTTCAGTGGTTTGTTAACTTCAAAACTGTCAAGCCGCAAAAATATTCAAAAAAACCCCAACTCAAACAAAAAACCTTCATCTAGTCATACAATTAGAAATATGTTCAGAGGAGTTTTTCCATCACTATGAAACTAAACAGTAATTAAAATCAACCCGCAGATCCATCTCATTATAGGTTTTCCTAAACAACCCTAACAACCCTAGTTCCCTTACAGTTTTCTTCAGGTTTCCAATTAAACATTGTGCTTTTGTCTATGCTGATCCATCCCTCTGGACTGCTCTCCCTCTCTCAGTGAGGCTGGCACCATCCCTCCCCCATTTCAAGTCACTGCTTAAGGCCCACTTTTACGACCAGGCATTTTTAAACCCTCGACTTTTATTAATTATTTTTATTATGTATTCTTTTTATTGACTGTGATTTTACTGGTTTGTTGTGTATTTTTATTGATTTGTGTTTTTGTGTTGTATTTTGCTTTTTATCTGAACAGCACTTTGGTCGGCTGCCATGCCATTTTTAATTCTGACTTTTAATGCCCATTGCATACACAAAAAGGGGTATGTCCGATAATATGGGTCGATATTAGTATTGATGTAATTTTGGAAATGTCGACAACCTTTTCATACCATGCACATATTATACACCAAGCTCTTCAGCACTTGTCATATTTTGCAGATAGTGTTTAAGCATGCATGATAGCAGATATGGGATGTTAGTTACCAACAATTATTTAGTTTTTGTATTTCTTATTGGTTGGGGGTGGGGGGGTGCATATCATCTACATTGGAGATTAAATATTTAGGCTTAATCGATTAATCTGATATCAGTTAAATTGCAGATAGCGAACATCCCTAAAATAATAATTTAATGCAAAATGTGTGACTCATCACTATTATATTGATCAATATCACTAATAGAACTTCTCAAGATTTTTGATTAAACAAAATTAAAAAAACTAAATCCTTATAGCGACACCATTTTAATAGGTAAGGAAACTAATCTAGTCTTATTAAAAGCTTGGTTTAAGTCCCCCAGTGGCTTTTCTACACAGAAACAAGTGTTTTCATGTAAATGCGTGGATCTCGTTAGGCATTTGTTTGTATCTGTGCGATCCTGTGAGGTGCAGCGGTAAAACTGATCATCTCTTATCTGTGCAGCCGATGTCACGATGATTACAGATCCTGAATACATGCATAATATCGAGCTTGTGTATCCTTGAGGGTACAAACATTATCTCTACTCTCAGGACTGTGAAACTCCACAAAGCTTGTGTGAGACTCCAAAGATATTCTGGGTCAACTGCTCTGGTCTGCGAGAACAACAGTTATGTAAATTAGAGACAGTTGGTAAATTAGGACACATTTATAAATAAATTGCAATAATTATTTATTTATAAGTGAAAAGTCTGCAGCAGGCCAAAGGCCCAAAGCAGCTCCACTTTTAAACTGTCAGGGAAATAAAAAATAAAAGAAAAGCTTCAGGTTGAAACAACAAAACTATTTTAGTTTCTACTGAATTTAAAGGATGAAACTTGACAGATAAAATAATGCTTTCTTTGTTACAAGAGAATGATTAATACTTTAAAACATACAGTGAAAACTATTTGTTCCCTTACAGATTTTTTCAGGTTTCCAATTAAACATTGTGCTTTTGTCTATGCTGATCCATCCCTCTGGACTACTCTCCCTCTCTCAGTGAGGCTGGCACCATCCCTCCCCCGTTTCAAGTCACTGCTTAAGGCCCACTTTTACGACCAGGCATTTTTAAACCCTTGACTTTTATTAATTATTTTTATTATGTATTCTTTTTATTGACTGTGATTTTACTGCTTTGTTGTGTACTTTTATTATTGGTTTGTGTTTTTGTTTTTATGTTTAGAACCTCATCTGTGTTTGAACCGTTTTGATCCAGTTGAGCTTTCAGAGTTATCAAAAATATTAGCTTCATCTAAACCTTCAACTTGCACTTTAGATCCCATCCCAACCAAATTATTTAAAGATGCATTTCCTTTGGTTACTGCCCCCATTCTATATATAATCATTCTATCCTTAGTAAATGGGTATGTACCACAAGGTTTTAAGGTTGCTGTAATCAAACCTTCACTTAAGAAGCCTTCTCTGGATCCAGATGACCCAATGAATTATAGACCAATATCTAACCTTCCATTTTTATCCAAAGTCCTGGAGAAAATAGTGGCCATCCAAGTATGTGAGCATTTAAACACTAACGCTCTGTTTGAGGAATTTCAGTCTGGTTTTAGAGAGTATCACAGCACTGAAACTGCATTAGTGAGAGTTACAAATGATATTCTCATGGCCTCAGATAAGAATCTTGTGTCTGTTCTAGTCTTGTTAGATCTCAGTGCTGCCTTTGACACAGTTGATCACAATTCTCTTGTAGAAAGACTTGAACATGTTGTAGGGATCAAAGGAACAGCGTTAGGCTGGTTTAAATCCTACCTGTCTGACAGATTTCATTTTGTAAATGTACATGACAAATCGTCTTCATACTCCAGGGTTACTTGTGGAGTACCACAGGGTTCAGTGCTTGGACCAATTCTTTTTACTATATATATATGCTCCCAATTGGTAAAATCATTGGACAGCATGGGATAAACTTCCACTGTTATGCTGACGATACTCAGTTATATTTACCCATTAACCCTGATGAACCTAATCGGTTGGGTAGATTACAGGCTTGTCTTGAGGACATAAAAAATTGGATTACTCTTAACTTTTTGCTTTTAAATCAAGCCAAGACGGAAGTTCTCATCTTTGGACCTGAAAAAGGAAATTGCTTAGTCAAACACCTGACCTGAATGGCATTAAAATAATCTCCGAGAACAAAGTAAGGAACCTTGGTGTTATCTTTGACCAGGACATGTCATTCAAATCCCAGGTTAAACAGGTTTGTAGGATTTCCTTTTTCCACCTTCGGAATATTGCTAAAGTTAGAAGCATCCTTTCCAGGAGTGATGCTGAAAAACTAGTTCATGCATTTATTACATCAAGACTGGATTACTGTAATTCATTACTCTCAGGAAGTTAGCAGAATGTAGTTAAGTCTTCAGCTTGTCCAAAATGCTGCAGCTAGAGTTCTGATGAGAATTAAAAAGAGAGATCATATCTCTCCTGTCTTAGCTTCCCTACATTGGCTACCTGTTAAATTCAGAATAGATTTTAAGATCCTTCTTCTCACATATAAAGCTCTTAATAATCAAGCTCCATCATACATCAGTAATCTGATTGTTCCATACGTTCCTAACCGAGCACTTCGCTCTCAGACCGCAGGTCTACTGGTGGTTCCCAGAATATCTAAAATTAGGATGGGGCAGATCTTTTAGTTATCAGGCTCCTCTCCTGTGGAACCAGCTCCCAGCCTTAGTCAGTGAGGCAGACACCTTGTCTACTTTTAAGACTAGGCTTAAAACATTTTTATTTGATAGGGCCTATGGTTAAAATCTGATGTTAGCCTAGATCTGGACAAGTGGGGGAGTAGAGGGAGGTGGAGTGTACAGTCGGTAAAGACAGCTCTCCCTTGCCCTGCCTCCAACATGCCTCCATCTAAAAAGGCTTGGTTATCCTGAGTTATCTCTGTAGTTATGCTGCTATAGGCTTAGACTGCTGGAGGATAAACTGACCACTTTTCACACTCTACTACTTTCTTCTACAGTCTGCTCTTTAACTGTATTATTTTCTGCAATTTCAGCGGTTAACTTTACTTTTTCTCTAAGTGTTTTTCTCCCCAGAAGAAGCTACGGTGATGTTCTGCTGAGCTGTGGTGGCCTCATGGAGGGGGCCATCGTCTGGCACACTGCTGCTAACCACTAAAACATTCTCCCTCTCCTGATAATAACTTTTTGCTTTCCTTGACATTGGATGTGCAACTGCTAGTTTATCCGTTTAATTATAGATCCACTAGGATAAATACAATAAAGTTTATCTCTCGCCAAATAGAATATTTACTAAGAAATCACAATATAACCATAGACACATTGCTGTGTGTGTGTGTGTATGTGTCTGCTCTGTCTTCACGATCCCAGGTGAGTCGTGGAGGATGGCTGCTTATACTGAGCCAGGATCCTCTGGAGGTTTCTTCCTGTTAAAAGGGCGTTTTCCTCTCCACATGCTTGCTTAGTATGAGGATTGCTGTATAGTCACTGACACTAGTCAGTGACTTGATGCAATTTGCTGGGTTCCTTATATAGGAAACATTTTTCTGATTGGCTTAATGAACTGACCTGAATTGGAATGTTTATTATGTGAAGTGCCTTGAGACGACTCTTGTCGTGATTTGGCGCTACATAAATAAAATTGAATTGAACTTAATTGAATTGTTGTGTTTTGCTTTTTTATCTGAACAGCACTTTGGTCGGCTGCATGCCATTTTTAAATGTGCTTTATAAATAAATTTGGTATGGTTGGTATGATATTTAAATGTTTCACATTGACAAATTCCAAAATTAGACAGCGATAACCAGACTAAATGTAAAAAGAGTTTTCAAATGACAATTTCATAATGAAAACAAAACAAACAAAAAATATCCAGAATGCATAATCTCTTACAAGATGCATGTGAAAAGGCCTCCTTGTTTAACCATTAATTGTCCAGAATATTAGGAAAGCAGAGTTCAGTTTGACTAGTCACACCCAGGTCTGATGAAGAAATCACTTCTATTCTGAACTAGACTAAAATATCTCAAAAAGCAGCTTGTCAATTCATGTTTCAATGAAATTCAAAAAAACTCAGAACAGCTAAAACCCTGCAGGCTTTTCTTGGTTAGGGTCAAGATCAAGATTTAACAATAAGAAAGAGATGGTTGGGCAAAAACTGCACCACAACAGAGTTCCAAAGTCAAAACCTCTGCTGCACCAAAACAATACGACCGTCTGCTCCACATTTAATAAAACAACATCTTAACAAATCTTGAGAGTTCTGAAAAAATAGTCTGTGGACAGACGAGACAAAAGTGGAAGCCTATGAAAGGTTTGTGTCTTGTTCCATTCAGTGCTAATCTAACTATGTATTTCAGAAACCTATCATCCCAACAGTCAGACATGGTGTTGGTCTAGAGCGATTCTGTAGGAGAGAGATAACCAAAAGCTCACTTTCCCTTAGGCAGAAAATCCAAAGTATTTTTTTTCTTCTGAAGAATTTCTTCATTTATGATAAATGAGCTGGTTTTTATACATCACATTTAACAAATATGTAAGATAATGGATTTATTTAAGCATTTATGATGTCTAGAAACAGAAACATGTTTGAAATCTCTCCTGTTGTTGAGGACCTCTGGGACTTAACATCATTAATGATCAAACGGAAAGTGCATTTTCTTTGCTACCTGCGAGGTGCAGCGGGGTTGAGTTGCGTCCCTGCGTGTCCCGACAGTTGATGTTTTCTGGGCTGCACAGCTTCTGAACCCTTGCCAGGCAGCCTTTCTTAGCAGCATCTAAAAGTGCAGCGTCTCCTCTCAGTAAATCCTGGATGTCCGTGTCTCCGTCCTTCACCAAATCCAAAGGCGTGTTCCCATCTCGGTTCTTCTTGGTTGGGTCAGCTCCGTGCTGAAAAGAGGAGCCAAGGGCATAATTGTTAATAAAACTGGTGGTACGCTTCTGCAAACAAAAACACACACTGGTCATGGAAATAACAAGAAACTGAAAAAAAGTAAGAATTTTTGGACCAAAATGATGGGACTCTTAGAATTTTTTGAAAATATTGTGACCAAAAAAGAAAAAAAAAATTAAATAACCCAAGATGTGTTCTATTCTATTTAAAAGGTGAATGGTATGCCGCTTCCAGCTCCAGATCCGGTCCAGGCTTGGTAGTGTCGGGTCCGGGTCCCGCACTGGGAGGCTGTGTTCACACACACTTCTCAGAAATGTGGTAACCAAGGTTCAAGAAAAAGTCTGTGGTGTCTCCCTTAAATTAAACAAAGGCAGCCGTGAGCAGTGTTGCTTTTGGAGACTCTGACTCAGATATTGATTCCAGACTGCTGTGTCTGTCCTCCCACAGGACAGCTCAAGCCTGGCTGTGGTCTGTGTGTTTACTCCTCAGACAGAGAGACAGCTTCAATCAGAGGAGATGTTTACTCCTCAGAATCCAGAATGATAATGCATCACTCATTCGCCTCCCTCTAATGGTAAGTGTGAATGTGAGCCAGCCAATCAGTTGGCAGTGGGAGTGTTGGGCCAGTTCAGCCGGAAGCAGACCGCCTTAGGAAAACGACTGGTTGTGCATAGGGAAAAAAAACAGGCTATCCAGATGCGAACACTTCCTACCATATCTAGGTAGAGTGGAGCCGGTGCTAGTGTGGAAGCACTAGTAGTCACAGTGCTCTTTGGTATCAGGGTGTGTACCACACTGAACATGGACCACAGAAGAAGAGAGTTGTCTCAGGAAAAGAGAGACAAATATTGACCAGTATGTGTAAAAGTAAGGCTACAAGACAATCTTAGACATATTATTCTGAGGCTCAGAGGACTGGAGACAACCTCACCGGACGTGTCAGCAAGAAGAAAACTGATAACAAATTTGAGATACAGAAAATAAAGATAGTATCCAGAGAGCCGAGAACAAAGTTGAAATATTTATGTAATGGTGTGAAAATTAATTTAAGATGCTTAAATTAATAGCAAAGGTTTATTTATTAAACAGAAGATTCAGTAATATTCTTTTAATTCGATAAACTGGAAATGCCACCCTTTTCTGTGTTTCGTTTCAATAATGAGGCAAGTTTAAAAATGAAGAAATTTATTTACTAACAATTTTAAACTGAAAGATTTGAAACGACAATTATAAAATGACAATTCATAAATGGCAATTTTGATGACAATCCTTAAAAGCTTTGATATTAAACTTGTTTAAAAGCAAACCTGTGTTGGATGGAGCTAAAATTGACAATGATGAGTTTTGAATGAGTGAATGAAGTTCTCAGAAGGTTTGTTTCAGAGGGAATGGAAGCGTTCTGGTGAAAATGATGTTTTGCAGATAACTGAGTTATTTTGAGAGAAAATAGCATGAAACATCATCTGTCGTGTTCTACCTCACCCAAACAGGCAGACCCTCTTGTGGATCCGGAGATCGGAGGATGGGTTCATCCAAGATGACACTCGGGGCTGGCAGAAAGACGCGAGTGTCCGATGCTCTGGTCCAGAGTGGTAGCCGGGTACACGGCGGTACGAAGCGTTTGGCAGATGCACGCTTCCGTATTTAAATTAACTTCAGAATTCAATGACTCTGGGAGAGTCTTGCATTAGCTGGTTTACGGTTCGTTTGTTCTTTAGCCATTCTCGTCGGCGTGACAGAACAGCTTGCATGAGGGTCAAGGAGACGGCCGTTCTCCTTTCCCCGTGGTGTTGGTTCCAGAACTGACGTGAAATCTGTGATGGTTAGTTTTACCAAACCCTCTCAGAACCCCTCCCTCTCTCTCCGGAAGACAGCTTGGTCATGCGTCAGAAAACATGTGCTGCAGTTATTGTTATCTGAACTCTGTTAGCTGAACAGGGTGGAAGTCTTCTTTGCTGAACACATCTTTAATCATCATAATAATTATCATTATAATACCCAAAGCATAATAATCCATTTCATGTAATTAAAATACCTTTATATCTGAACCAAGTGATCATGTTGTAATGATTATTTAAACAGTAACAAAATCAATGAAATATTAATTATTATTTAATTATTATCATCGTGGCTTGAAGTGTCCTTCTGACGGAACAGCAGATGATGTTATGATCTTGGCTAGACATCGTGGCTCCTTGGGTTTAATCTGTGGATTCAAAGTACTGTTAGACCCAGCTTGACCCAGCTGGGCAAATGTGACCTTTGGCACAAATCAGAGAACCTTCATGCCGTTACATTTACAAGGTCATTAGTGTCAGATCGCATCGTCCACTGCTGTTTGTGCTAAAGTGGACTTAATTAAAAATGACCAAGGAGACAAATATTAAAAATAAATCACAGAAAATAGCTTCTGGAAAGATGTCTTTTGGATAGATGAGGAAAAAATAGATGAGAATTTTAGTAAATAACATCAGAGGTTCATGGCGCTGGTTCTTTTAAACCACTCTTGGACTGCTTAGAGGAGGTCAAGTTATGATGGCTCAGAATTTTTTGTTCTTCAACCAGAATAAAACTGAGACTATCCTGTTCGGCCCGAAAAACAAACATGGATGCGCCCAAGGGATTGACTCTCCTTTATTAGCACCTTCTGAGAAGGTTGTGGTCACCAAGCGGGGGGGTGAAGTTGGAAGTTGAGCTCACACTGGACAGCCAGGTCAATGGAATTATCAGATCCTGCTATTTCCATCTCAGGAGAATAGCTAGGATTAAGCAGTTTCTTTCATGTAAACATCTGGAAACTGTCATCTACGCCTTCATTACCACCAGACTGGACTACTGTAACTCACTTTATGCAGGCATCAAGCAGGCCTCCATAGCGAAACTGCAGAAGGTCCAAAATGCGGCAGCCAGGTTACTGACTGGTACCAGGAGACCTGAACACATCACGCCCATCTTGGCATCCCTACACTGGCTTCCAGTCTCTTTTAGAATTTCGTTTAAAGTTAAGGTGTTTGTTTTTAAATGTTTAAATGAGTTGGCTCCACGTTATCTATCGGATCTGATCCATCCTTATGTTCCCGAAAGGAACCTTTGGTCAGCACAGCAAGGACTGTTGGTCGTTCCCAAACACAGACTGAAATCTCGAAGGGGTCGTGCTTTCTCGGTGCTGGGGCCGAGGCTCTGGAATGAGCTACCTGCATGCGTTAAACAGGCCACCACGCTCGGCAAGGTTAAGAGCCAGCTGAAAACACATTTTTATTCTTTAGCTTTTACTCAAGAAGAGTCTCGTTAACGGATGGCTTTGCACTTTTTTGCTGCCCCACCCAGATTTTATCTACATGTTTTTGTTGTTTTTCAAATGGTTTTATATGTTTTTATTTTTTATGTAATTTCTGCTGTGCAGCGCTTTGTTTGGTCCTTGAGCCATGTGAAGGCACTAAATAAATAAAGTTTAGTAGTAGTAGTAGTAGTTCACGGCGCTGGATCTTTTGAATCTGTTAATCCTGTCAATGGAATCTTAAGACTATGAAGGTATTCTGGAGTGAAAAGAAGTGCCCGGTGTCATAAAACCGGGTTTCATTTACAGGTCATGAGCTCTCCAGAATAATTACCTAACCCTCCAGGAATGGCTAGAACAAAGACTAGACTATTTTGAAGTAGTATGAGTCTTGAGTCATTGAAGAAGCTGATGAATCTGGAGAAGACACCTTTCAAACATGAGACAGTTCACGAGCAGTAAGAGAACATATATGTGGACAGGTGCAGACTGAGAATTACAGAAATTACCTGACTGTTGGAAAGAAATAAAGCAACAAACTGTTCGCTTAGTTTAAACCACTTTCATTAGTTTATTTTAATTGTTCTGTTGAGCCACAAATCAAAAGCAAAGTCTGACTTTCATTCACAGATTATCAGTGAAATTGATTCGTTATTACTTTTGTAAGTTTCAAGATATTTATTGGGAACATTGTGGGTTTTTCTCATTTAAAGGAAGTAGCAACAATAATATTCACATTTGTATGAAATTAAGACAAACTGATCTAATGGATCCACTCTGTGTCAGGGACTAACCGGGTCTAAAGACAGAAACAATACAACAAAGCATTAGGAAAGTGTCAAAAATAGCAGCAGTAGGAACCCCAGAGTGCTTCTGGTTGGACCAGATTTTTGTGATGACAAGTGATGAGTGGTGTGGGGGCAAAGTGGTGAGAACAAGACAATCAGTGAAGCAGAAAAGATGAAACACATGCCAAACTCAGCTGTCTCCTAGGTTACAGTTTAATGTGTCATTCCGGGGTAAGCCCTGGAATGTTCCTATTAAAACTGGATGTTCTGGGATGACTCCCTCTGGGTATTCGCTGGTGGTTTGAATGCTAAACCCAGCAGGGCTTTTCTACCCTGCTTCACAATCTTATTGTTTTGTGTTCCTTCTGTTGTAATTATATTGTTCTAGCAATTCATTATCCTTTCTCCATCATGGAAGACGCAACTAGAAATAACCGGGAACATTTCCATTTAATTAAAGACGAATCCTTTTAGATTTGCACTCGTCAACAATGCTGGAAGCTGAACAATTATCCAAAGCTGACTGTTTTCAAGACTGAATTAAACAAAACTCTGCTGGTAAACCATTTCTCACACCATAACACAACAGTCAGATGTTTATTCTTAACCGTAGGTTGCTCTGTGTCATACAATTTGAGCTAAATGGGACAAATTGTATTGTAAAGATAACACAGGGTCATTTCAGACCATTTAAAGATTAAAACACTAATGATTATAACTAAAACCTACAACTGTACTTTGGTTTGAACACACATGAGAGAGCAGTCACATCCCAGGGCCGTTTCACATTAACATATAAAATCTAGCAGCACAATATTTGTTTTAATTATTTCAGTGGAGTGGAAGATGCCCTTTACACCCAATATTCACCTCTGGACTTCAAATCTGACCAAGATTTGACCTCAGAGGGATTTCAAAACTATTATAAAAACACTAAACAAACAAAAACATTCGCCACCCTAAATACGATCGATCAGCATCTATGTTTCAAACTCTCGCCTGCTGACCTGTTAGCGCAGGAGCTGAACCAAACATCATGGTGATGAAAGCTCTGCCTGAGGGGACCGCTCCATCTCTGAACTCCAGAACTGATTTAGTTTTCACTCCAAAATTTCTCTAAACAAGGTTTTTACACACTGATCCTGAGGAGAATCATTTTGTTTGCTGAAGAGTACGTAACAAAAACACGAATAATGACAATAACCGGTCTCCAGTTCAGTAAACAAAACACACTCAGGTACTCTGAGGAGAACAAGGAGGAAAAGTAAATAATTTTTAAAAAAGCACACAGAACAGAAAGACTACCAGTTCAGAGAAACTCCCACGATGTTTGAGATGCTTTACTTTTAATGAAAACGATTAATGATGCTGAGGCAGAGGGTGCTTCTCTTGATTTTAACCAAGTTTGCTGCTTCGGTGAATATTTACAAGTATTTCTAAGCTTCAGTTGTAGCAGGTTTATGCAAAGAGTCAATATGAGCAGTGTTGGTCCTCCTTTGCCAAGACCTCTCTCACATGCCATCAGCCAACCTCTGGTCCAAATCCTGACTGGTGGAAGCTCCTTCTTCATCATCAATGAATGGGATTTGTCAGACTTTGTGGGATTAGGTTTGTTATCTGTCACATGGTGATATATCACAGCTTCCCGATGGAAATAAGACCTGGGGAGTTTATTGGACTTGGACCCTAAATGTTAATGTTTTGGTCCCAGAAACACTTAGTTTTGACTTTTTTTATCATACTGGTAAAGTCATCATCAAACTGCTTTAGGATGATTGGGAGGAGTTCATGTTTGTTTCTGAGGCTAAACTGAGTGTTTCCACTCCGCTGAGAAACAACCACACACAGCAGTGGTCTCAGGAGATGTTACCGTCAACATGATACAGCATTGACTTGAATGTAAATCCTTTTCTTCTCCAGAAAATCACTTTTTCCATGTGTCATAAATAACCAAATGAGGATTAACAAACATGGAATTTCTGTAGTCCTCAAAAATGCCATAACTAGAACCTTTGTAGCATATCAATCAGCCTCCAGTGGTTTTCTTGGAGACAATTGGCTTCTTTGCTGTCCTTGACACTAGGCAGTTCTCCCTCATTAAAAGAGTTGATGCAAATGGCCATGATGAAAAAAGTACAGCAAACTTTGTGACAAAGATTTATTTGTGTCATTCTCTAAACGAAGGACCCTCACATGGCACCTTTCAGAGTCAGAGGACTAAAGTCTACAGTGTAGCATTTACCCTTTCACACACAAATTCATACGCTAGCCCCGGGGCGCACTGACAGCGGTGAGGCTGCCGAGCACAGACCTGTCCCTCCAAACACCACCAGCAGGCAAGGTGGGTTATGCTTCTTGCCCAAGGACACAACAGCAGCATTCTGCCGAGAGCCAGAATCAATCCCACAACCCTCCGATTTCTGGACAATGTGCTCCATCTCCTGAGCTACTGCAGTCCCAAAACATTTGTCTACGGTTGTATCAGGAACTCTTAAAACTAGTGACAATCACTTCTCCCATGAAAAAGAATAAATAAACACAACATTATAAAATGTTCACTTTTGCTACCTATTTCAATAAATCTAGCTCAAACACCATCATGAACAAAGTGGCCAATCAGGAGCTTCAAATAGCATCATCAGTTTGAAAGACTGTAAGATCTAATTACTTAGAATATAGTCTCATCCATTTAGAGACAGTAACAAACATTAACAGAACGTGTGCTGCCTCAGATTCATTAACTGTATTAGTAACAGTAATCAGTAAATATAACAGTTGACTAAATCTCTGTTTTTGTTAAAAAGTGTTTACTCAACTGTAACCAAAAAGAAAACAGCAAAACACGGTTCCATGTACATTAAATATTCAAATGCTGCAGTTTGCAGGATAACCAGACATTATGTAAGGTCACAAAAACTGGTAAACTGACTTAATTTCTCCTGAAGTTAAAACACATTAATTATAAACAAGATTACACTCAACCTGATGTCATTTATCTATTGTTTCATCTAAATAATGGTGATAAATGTTGTTTACATTCTTTCTGATGGCTTTAATGACTTCTTTGATTCCTCCAGCAGCAAAAACATTATTAATATTTTATTCTGATTATCTGATTGCCTAATCAATTAACAGGGTTGAGCAGTATTTCAGTCAGTGTGAAGGTCATGTCCCGCTCTACTTCAAAGCAGGGCTGATTTAGTGTGTAAATCCTGGACTGCATGTGATCTAAAACTCTGCCTACAGCTGTTTCAAACATCCAGTATAACATCTGCATTAAATCATCTGAAGGTGAGTGTTAGCAAAGTCAAACCTTTAGCAGTAGCTTGCAGATCTCGTATTTTCCCTTTGCAGCTGCTTCGTGAAGTGGCGTGAACTTCCACAAGTCGGCCACGTTGACCGAGGCTCCGTGTCGGACCAGAAGTTCGGCCACTTCGTAATGACCGTACGAGCAGGCGTTATGGAGGGGAACCAGACCGCTGCAGGGGTAAAAGGGCACAAAACCGTTTATTGAAACAGATTTTTGATTACAAGATCTATAGAGCAAATGCCCAACGCTCACCCTTTATCTTTAGCGTGCACATCGGCCCCGTGGTGTAGCAGGTACTCCACGACAGCCACTCTGTTATAGCCAGCAGCAAAGTGAAGAGGAGTGGAGTGTCGTCCCTCCAGGTCTCTGCAGTTTACATTCTGAGCAGTGCACAATGACTAGAGATACAGAACAGACTAAAGATTAGGAACAACAAGATACATCAAAAGACCGCTTCAACTGGTCAGTCTGGATACAACCATGTCCATTAAGGGCAGAAAATCTGATTGGCTACTGACACAGCTGGAATCCTGATTTATTTTCCACACCTTCAAATATTTTTAAAGCAAGATTGTTTAGATTTAAATGATGTATATTCACAGGGTATCCCTCCTTTCCTTGAAATGCTTAAATAAAATCACAAGTTTCTGATTCTTTTCTGACTCAACCACATGACAGGTGTTAAGAACAGCACAAACAGCCAGAAGCACGTCCAGAATTACACATCTAGTTTAATCCCAGACTCATTTCAAAATGGATTTAAAATAAAGATGAGATAAGAATCCAGACTTTCCAGTATGAACAGAGGCTCGGCCTTAGAGCCTTCAGCCTCTGTTTATCCCGGTGCTTCAGGAAGTTTGGCTAAAACAATAAAATGCAATGCCGATTTTTTTCTTTTGTCTTCAGTGAAAGTGAATGCTGCCCAGTTCTGGTGTTTGTTAGTGATAAAGACAGAAGAACATACCACAGAGAATTTCAACAAAAGTGGGATTTTGACTAAAATCAAAAAGGGCAAAAGCACAAACGGCATCCGAGTGACATTTAACACAGCACTATGATCAGGACTCCATGACAGCAGCTGAAGAAGGTCAGCACTTTTCAGAAACCAAAAGAAAAAGTACCACACAGCTAAAGTATGGATGGCTTTTAGTTCTACAGTCCCTGTTTCTACAGATTCAAGACCTGCTAATACATATTGTTAGACAATAAAAGTCTCTATTCTCATCAGGTTGCCATCAGGTTTCACTCGTCTGTAAAGAAAATCTCACATTATTCAGACCCCTAATTAACGTATTAATAAAGATCTGTGGTAAACTATCAGTGTCATTAAATGCACCAAATCTGATAGCGAATACTCTAACATAAGTTTTCCACCTCTTTAACCTTTTACCATCATCTAAAAGCAAAGAGAACATTTTAAAACAGTTTCAGAGTCTGAACCATGAAGTGCATTTCAATGACTAAAAAGAGTCTCTCCAACCCAAGTGGCAGGAACAAAATGTGACAAAATGCAAATGAACCACCTTCACAGTATCCAGGTCTCCGGCTTTGGCAGCTTCCAGCAGCCTGTAGTCCACATCTGAGTTTCTCACTGGGACGCTCTCTACAGAGCAGCAAACACACAAGATCGCGGTGAAGGCTTTGGACACATTTGGAAATGAAAAACAAAATGAAGGTGAAACTATTTCCTGGAAAAGTGTCCTCAGAGGGACAACGACTGGTGTTTACCTCATGGCAGAAGCATCCTGCACTGAGCTTGTTTGAAAACATTCTAGACTTCTACAGAAATACATATATTCCCCTGATGTTTGAAACTCAGCCTGAATAGGGGGTTGTTGTCCTTTTTTAATCTTGTCTGAATTTGTGTGTAGCTGCTTTCCTCAATGGAAACTAACCTGAAATTCATTCTGTTGACTAAAATGAGAGAACACATCCTTACATTTCACTGGTTACATTCACAAATATTTGCAAAAATTGAACTGTAATGTTAAGTATCTTCTCCTTCAAACATCAATGCACCCACCAGCACCTCCACCCTACTGCAAAAACATGTCCTGCTAATCCCAGAATACTCTCAGCTAATACACAGGAACCAAAAGCCTGCACACCCACAGACCTGCACATCCGGCCTACCGCCCACACAGAGTGTCGCCTACCGTTGAGGATTTGTTGTACAGCTTCGTTTCCCATCTGAGCTGCAGTGAAGCCCTGCAGCGACACCAGCGAGGCATCTGCCCCATATCCTAGCAACTGCCTGCAGGTCTGCAGGTGGCCCGCCAGCGCCGCACGATGCAACGCAGTTTGACCCAACGTGTCGAGGGCGTTCACCTGCAAACATCTCAGAGTTATGATTCAATTTTATGCATTAGAGCATATTAATGTGTGTGTGAATCGGTGAATGATTGTGTTGTGTAGCGCCTTGGGGGGTTGTAGAACCCTAAGTAGGAGCTATACAAATACAGGGCATTTACCATTAGATACACACATCTGCTTTTAAAACTCTTAAAGGTGTCAGAATCTTAAAGACAATGTAAAGAAATACAATTATGATAAAAAGGCATTTGTTTTTGTACTTGCTTGTATTTAAATTGTTTCATTGGCTTTGTTATTCACTCTGCTGTGGTCTGTTGCGGTGCAGTCAGCTCTAACTGAGACAGAAAGAGACTGAACGACCTAGTCAAAAAAGCTAGCTCGGTTCTGGGCTGCCAACTGAACTCAGTTGAGGAGACGTGTGAAAGGAGGATGGTGGTGAAGATGACCTCCATCTTGGAAAAACCTCCCACCCATTGCATTCCACTGTGGAGACCATGGACAGCTCCTTCAGTGGCAGACAGACATCCGACACGTAAAACAGAATGCTACCATAGGGCATCTATCCCCTCTGCAGTAAGTGTATAATTACTCAGGTAAACTGGTACTGGCATTATCCTGGTACACAATAAAATCAGTGCAATATTGTGCAATACCAGATGAGCATTAGTATGTTTGAGTCCCTTATGCTGCATAGTTCTGGAAACTCAAGTTTTCTTTTTATTTGTTGTTTTTAGTGGTTGAAGGTTACAATAACAGCTTATTACCTTTGTGTGTTTACCTGTAATCTTGTTATTATCTTTCTTCTTCCTTTTCTTTAAGTGTTTTTGCTGCTGTAGCAAGTGAATTTTCCTACTGTGGGATTAATACATTCTATTCTATTCTACTCTATTTATGATTTGGATTTTATATGATCTTTATGTTCTGTAAGAAAGCAACCAATCTCGCCTAACATCCCTAAAAAGCTACAAAAAAGTGACTTAAGTCTGACCTAAACACCTTATTTTTCCCTAAACAGTTTACACTGTAAAAATGAATGACATTAGAAACGAATAAAAGGAAGTGTTGGGAGAATGTTTTGTGAAACGATTACACCACAGAAAAATATATTTAAAATGCCAAGGTGAAACTGAATGTTAAGAAGGAATCAATGACATCTATGAAGCACGGTGGTGGGCATTTAATGGTTTGGGAGTATTTTATTAGACTTGATTATTACTCTTCTTGAAGTATGTGTGTAATAAAAAATGTTTCTTTTAAATTTTTAAATACATCAAAAATGTATAAACAAATGTTTATTTAGAATGTAATGACAGACAATTTATCTAATTTAAACTAATCGGAAATGTTATGTATTTATATTTAATACAAACTGATTGTGATGACAGCAGAGGGGTATTTTCTGTTGATCTGTGTGACAAAAGTTATTTGGATGGATGGATTAATCAGCTAATTAAAGACTTACAGAAAGAAAAAAAGCACCACTAGAAAGAGAAGTAAAAGGCCCTGCATTTGTATAGCACCTTCTTAGGGTTCTACAACCCCCCAGGCACTTCACCACACGCCCAATCATTCACACACGCACACACACGCACGCACACACACACACACACACACACACACGCACACACACGCACACACACACACACGTAACAAGAGTGCCTGTGAAAAATAGCAAACCTAGAAATAATAAACAAAGCTAAATATGAATAAATGATTAGAATTACCTTTGCCCCGTGTTTCTGAAGCACCTCCATGATGTCATTATGAGCTCGCTCTGCTGCCACATGGAGAGGAGTCATGAAACTGGAGACAGGAGAAGAAAAGAAACTCAACAGAATTCCACTTATTTCAATTTTCTGCCTTTTACTTTAAATTTCAACCAAATTTTTACTTGTAAAAACACACATTAATCAATGTAGTAATCACTTGTTTGTGTTTTTTATATAACATCACCACATATTTAGTCACATAAAACGCCAGCATGAGCACCTTGAATGGCAGCTCTTGTGGTCTGCCTGTATCTGTTGTGTTCTACATGTTGTGTGTGTGTAATCTTGGTCAGGCTGTACTGCGGAGACACATTTCTATGCTTCAGGATGCTGGGGCCCTGACAATAAAGTTGATTCTGATTCTGATTCTAGAGCTAAAAAACCGACCCCCTTGATTTGAAGAGTCAGCTAGATGTTAAAATAACATATTTTGTCCCAAACCACTACTATCAGTGTTTTTCTGTTTTCATCTGCTTAAAAAGAACATCTGAAGCTGTTATTTTCTAAATCTCTAATAATTACTGCAGATAAAGGTAACATGTTATTATCACATCAACACATTAATTAAATAATGCTGACAAATATATTATTGCACGTTTAAAGGGTTTTTTAGACCCGTTTCCACTATCGGAACTTCGAGGTTAATTTAGTGCACCTTTATAGTACAGGTGTGTCTCCATTTCACCAGGCTGAAAGGACAACTTTTATTTCAGGGACCAACTTAGTACCTGAACTGGGGTATTTATTTGGAAATGGCCATGTAAAGTCACTGGGCAGGACTAGTGGTTAACTCATGCTGACTGGTTGTAAGTCAGTACGGAATGAGACTGACCCACGTCACACAATTAAACATCTCAACTGTGGTGCTCATCAGTGACGTCACTCATTGCAGAAACAGTCGCAATATACTGACATATTAGCAAAGTCCTAAAAGCGCCGATTTTGTGTGGAGACACAGCGGCTGAGAGCACCAAGCCACCATACCTTCCCTTTCACCATCCCAGAAATTTCCCAGAACTTCTATAGTGGAAAATCAACCAATCACAATCACTGGGTCACAGTAGGGCTGAGATCTTGATCGTCATTCGTTGAAATGATCATCCTCCATCTCAGTTTATTAACGAGAAGCTCTGAATATGAACACACAAACTAGTGAACATCTCAAATCTAAAATTTGTCGTTGATGGCTGAATAATCTTTTAACAGCTCGGACGTTGCTATAGCAATTCAAATTCAGTAAAAAAGAAAAAAAAACAGAAAGTGGTTTTTTTTTACGTTGAACCAGCAGACTGTCCTTGAGATTCAACTTTACTTTCACGTCAGCAGGGTGACTCATAATTTCCAACCCCAAAATAAACCAGATAAAAATCTAAAATTATCTTCAGGTGTTTGTGAAGAAAGTGTGGTTAAAACAACTCACTCCTTATTCTTCTCGTTGACGTTGGCACCTTTTCTTAACAGCAGCTCAGTGACCTGTTTCCTTTTGGGGTGAGGCGATGCTACAGCACAGTGCTAACACGCACAAGCACAGGCACACACACAAGGGGCAAACATCAGATGACAACTCCTGTGCCACTGCAGGAAGGTGTGGAGCAAAGGTGTTTTATCTTACCAGAGCCGTTTCATGTGTGTGAGGGTGTTTGAAGTTGATGATCTCCAGAGCCAGAGTCTTCTTAGCTTTGGCCATGTCAGCTTCTCGTGCTGCCTGGAGCAGCGAGTGGCCTTTAAACTCATCTAAAAACACGCACGCACGCACACACACACACACACACACACACACACACACACACACAAAGGTTGCGAAGATGATAGAAGTGATACACAGATGAAAAAAATAAACTATGGTTTGATGGGAACAAACTATCATTAAACAGTGATAAAACATGTTTTAGGATATTTAGTAATACATATTCAAATTATGAAATTTTATTAAATATAGATGAGATTAATATTAAAAGAGTTAAAGAAGTCAAGTATCTGGGAGTCATCATTGATGAAAAAATGTCTGGAAAACTGCATATAAACAGTGTCAAAACTAAAATATCTAAAACAATTGCACTGTTACATAGAGCAAAAGGATTGCTTGATAATAATTCCCTATAGTTGTTATATAACTCACTGATCATACCGTACCTGAACTACTGCATTGAAATCTGGGGAACAACATATAAAACATACACAAATTCCATTTACATCTTACAGAGAAAAGCAATAAGAATAATCACAAGGAGCAACTACAGAGATCCGTCCAATCCATTATTTATAAAATTAAAAACACTAACATTCTATGATCTGGTGGACTACAATATTTTAAAATGTATGTATAATGCAAACAAAGGGTACGCACCTGCAGGTTTAATCAAAAGATTTACAAAAAGACATAGCAAATATGATCTAAAAGGACATGAATTATTTACTATACCTAGACATAGGATACTCATAAAGGAACATTGTGTGTCCATATATGGAGTTAAAATGTGGAATAAATTAAATACTGAAATCAAGAATGCAAAAACAATATTGACTTTCAAAAAAGAGATTAAAAAAAGAAATGATTAACTTATATAGATCTGTTACATAAATGCGTGGGGAGGGGTTGGGGGTGAAAGAAAAAAAAAAATTAAAAAAAAAAGGGGGGGGGGGGGGGCGCAGGTGTGTGTGTGTGCATGTGTGTGTATATGTATGTATATAGGTATGTAATTTTGTGCTTCTTTCTGTGTAACTTGTTTTCTCTCTTTTTTTCAATTCATGGGTTGAAATTGTGTCGGCCAACCAGTCCAGAGACTATATTGTTCAAATTTTTTAAGAATCATATGATTGTTTCATTTGTATTAATGTTATTTTAGTTAAAAGGGGCAGATAACATAAGTTTTTCTTCTTTATGTCCCCTTTTTCATTTAGGCTTTTAGCAATTTAGTTTTGTATTTTTATTTTAATGTCAATGAATGAAAATAAAGTTGAAAAAGGAAAAGTAAAGAAAAGCTGGATCACTGACTTTTGCAGAATATTCTTATTTTTCAAGTTTCACCGGTAATTTTCGTATCCTCCTGCAGCAGTACTAAACAACAGAAAGACTCCAACAGTTGTTTTGGACCATAGAGCTAATAACCCATGATGCAATAGTGTAAACACATGGGAGTTGGAGCAGAAACAAGTGATTATGCCCACAGGGAGCGGAAATAACAAACAACATACAGTGAGGAACATAAGTATTTGAACACCTTGCGACTTTGCAAGTTCTCCCACTTAGAAATCATGGAGGGGTCTGAAATTCACATTGTAGGTGCATTCCCACTGTGAGAGGCAGAATGTATAAAAAAATAAAATAAAAAAATAAAAAAATCAGGAAATCACATCGTATGATTTGTAAAGAATTTATTTGTTTTGCACTGCTGCACATAAGCATTTGAACACCTGAGAAAATCAGTATTAATATTTTGTACAGAAGCCTTTGTTTGCAATTACAGAGATCAAACGTTTCCTGTAGTTCTTGACCAGGTTTGCACATACTGCAACAGGGATTTTGGCCCACTCCTTCTTCTCTAGATCTGTCAGGTTCTGGGGCTGGTGCTTCGGTTCCCTCCAAAGATTTTCGATTGGATTTAGGTCTGGAGACTGGCAAGACCACTCCAGAACCTTGATATGCTTCTTACGGAGCCACTCCTTGGTTATCCTGGATGTGCACTTCGGGTCATTGTCATGTTGGCAGACCCAGCCACGACCCATCTTCAATGCTCTGACTGAGGGAAGGAGTTTGTTGCTCAAAATGTCACAATACATGGCCCCATTCATCCTCTCCTTAATACATTGCAGTCGTCCTGTCCCTTTCACAGAAAAGCACCCCCAAAGCATGATGTTTCCACCCCCATGCTTCACAGTAGGGAAGGTGCTCTTTGGATGCAACAACTCCTTTTTCCTCCAAACATGGCGAGTGAAGTCTAGACCAAAACGTTCTTCTTTGGTTTCATCTGACCACATAACTTTCTCCCTTGCCTCCTCTGGATCATCCAGATGGTCATTAGCAAACTGCAGACGGGCCTGGATATGTGAAGACTTGAGCAGGGGAACCTTTCGTGCAATGCGTGATTTGAAACCATGACGGCATAGTGTTCTACCAACAGTGACCTTTGAAACTGTGGTCCCTGCTCTCTTCAAGTCATTGACCAACTCCTCCCGCGTAGTTCCGGGCTGATTCCTCACCTTTCTTATCATCAGTAATACCCCACGAGATGAGATCTTGCATGGAGCCCCAGTCCGAGGGAGACTGACAGTCATCTTTAGCCTCTTCCATTTTCTGACAATTGCTCCAACAGTTGATCTATTTTCACTAAGCTGCTTAGCAATTTCTCCATAGCCCTTTCCAGTCTTGTGGAGGTCCACGACTTTGTCTCTGGTTTCTTTTGACAGCTCCTTGGTCTTGCCCATGGTAGTAGTTGGAGTCTGACTGACTGTGGGGTGGATAGGTGTCTTTAAAGAGCTCAGACTGGTGCTACTAATTAAGATTACTAAGTGGAGTAGAGGTGGACTTCTTAAAGGCAGAGTAACAGGTCTTTGCAAGCCAGAATTCTTGCTGATTGCCAGGTGCTCAAATGCTTATGTGCAGCAGTGCAAAACAAATAAATTCTTTACAAATCATACAATGTGATTTCCTGATTTTTTTTCTTCCATTTTTTCTCTCACAGTGGGAATGCACCTACAATGTGAATTTCAGACCCCTCCATGATTTCTAAGTGGGAGAACTTGCAAAATTGCAAGGCGTTCAAATTCTTATGTTCCTCACTGTATTGTGCTCTTATTTAGTTTCAAAAACATTTAAAGCAGCATAAAAGGACTTCATTTAAGACATCCCAACAATGAGCAACAACATTCATGCATTTATAATCTGACAAATGCTAAATGCTCTAAAAAGAAGTCACGTCTTCAAGGAACTGTGGTGCAAAAAAAATAATAATAATAAATAAAAATAACCCCAAAAAAACATTGCAAAACAGAAAATAAATGAACAAAAAGAAGCTCCCGCTGCTGTTTCCTCTTTGTACCAAACAGTTTTCGGGTACAACAGCCTCACATCCAGCCTCTAAAACGGCTCTTATCCACTCTGATCAAACTCTCGGGATCAAACTTCAGTCAGAAGATGAGGAGCTATCCTCAAGTCAGGAAGCTACCCTGCATCATTTTTTTTATTTCAGGTTCAAAAGGTTCTGTTCTCAGAAAACAAGCTTAATATTAATCTTTTTGTCCATGAGCATGAATGATTATAAAACTTCATGACCAGCTTGAATTCACAGAAAACACAAACATACTTTGTAAAAGTGTTGATGTCATACGGGCAAAGTCGGTTTTATTGTGGTTTTCCTTCTAGTGTGGTGTGTTTTTAGTGTGTATTCTTTTTTATTTAGTTTAGTGCATGGAATGCTTTTATTTTGGGGAACCCAGGAAACTGGGAGGGTGTGTGATTTTATTTTGATGAGCTTGGACAGATGACATCCGGACCGGAGCAATTATCTGCACCGGTGGCAGATTAGGAGCGTCTGTTTTTTTGTGGAGACGGTGGCAGCAAGCAGAGAATCGCCGGGTGAAAGGACACCGATCGTCTGTGACGAGGCTTCATGGAGATGTGGGCAGGGTATTCCTCTGCCCTGGCGTGTGAGTAGCGGCCCTGTGACAAGGTGTGACCCGCGGTTTGTGATCGAGCAGTGACTGCCGTTAAATTCACTGACAGGTGGACCCGCGACAGAGGAGGACGACAGCGTGGCGCGGTGACGCGGCCGAGCCAGTGACTGATCTGCAGGAGGAAGCGGCCGATCGAGGGAAACGGCGGTGCGGCAGACGCACGTCTTGAAGGAGGAGGCGAGCGATCGAGGGAAGAGGAAACCGGCAGCGCGGCAGACAAGCGTCCCCAAGGAGGAGGAATCTGCCCCGCAGCGTCCAGATAAGGCTGCAGACTCTCCGGCCCAGTTCTGACAACCTTTATAGTGACTGTCCTAACCTGTTTTTTTTAAATGATGTTTTAATTAGAATTTTCAATAAACCCCGGTGCGGTGGTTAATGGCTGATTCCTTTGATCTCTGGCAGACGCTCTCAATTTACCTGGTGTAATCCTTGGGTGGGATTTTGTATCTGGTAGATATATAATATAGCCCACCCACCCGGTAGGAAGGTGCCACATTTGGCGTTGTTGGCAGGATCCAGGCTTTGGGAGCGGCTGTTGGAGCCAAATAAATTAGCCATGATGATGCCTGTTTACCCAGGGGCCCCTTGGCTTCCAAAATTTAAAGGACATGGGGAGGACTTAAAATACTGTGACTGGAAGGAACAGATAACCGGGTTGCTAGGGACACAGGAGTTGGCAGAACCCAGGAAGGTTGATATTGTATTGGGGGCGCTGGCTGGGGAAGCCAAACGTCAGGTCAGTGTTTTGGAAGAGAAGGAAAAAGATCAAGTCCGTAAAATCCTTAACTATTTAGATTCCTTGTATGGAGACCGCACTCCAACCGCGGTGTTAAGGTCTCAGTTTTTCGGTTGCACCCAGAAGCCAAGTGAGACTGTATCTTCTTTTATTTTGAGGTTGCGCGAGCTACATTGTAGGTTGCGGCGACATGATCCCGACGACTCCCCCTCAGATGTAGCCTTACGGGACCAGCTGTTGTTGGGGTTACAGGAGGGTCCCCTGGCCCAGGCCTTAAAGGTTTATGCTCGCCGTAACCCTGAGGGGGATTTTGCTGCTATCCGTC